CATTTCAGGATGCACTTTATATATGAGGGACGAAACGAAAAAGAAGCATTTTTTCGTCAAAATTCAATTTCCAAGCAACAAAACAAGCCCCGTAAAGGTTTTAACAGCGAGGGGGCTCGTAAAAAAAAAAAATCTCCCGAGCCTTGTTACCATCGGGTTTTGTGTGTATATGTATACGAGGAATTAATGGTTGGCGCGGGGGCTCTCCCATTATTCCTTTCGGTGGGGATGAAACGCCCTTACGCGTACGTGCAGTAAAATAATTGAAGTGCTCGGGAATCGTTGTAAAACTTTACGGGGTCGCTTCCATAAAGTTGAAAAGTCCCCCTTGCAGGTGTGCTCGGGCGTTTGCCCCTTTGGTCCGAGAAAAATGGGCGCTCGAGTATATATATATATAAATGTTTGCGATTTGTATGGCCAAAGTTGGAGTTTGGGTTGAGGGTTTCAAGGGGGTGCAACTTTGTCGTTGGACCCGGAGAGGAAGGTGACGGGCGTGGAGACGAGGGATTTTTACTCCGGTGGCTCCTCGTATGAAAAAAATAGCCCACGCGATGTGGGAAAAGCTCCCGAAGAGCAAATCATCCGTGAAATTCAAGGAGTACGAGTATATTATATACAAAGAGTCCACCTGTGCGTGTGTTTTACCATTCACCGCGAGAGATATAAATGTGTATGTATATGTGCACGGGGTAGGGGGCCCTATCTTTATGGTTTATCGCGCGTGTGTGTATATATACTGTTGATGGCGTCAGGTGCGTTTATACGTGCGAGGCTGTACAACGCTGGTGAATAATAAGATATTGCCGTGCCGATGCGCAAGGAACGTTTTGCCGTGATTACCGGAGAGGGGGTTTCATAGAGTTGGGTTTTTTTTTTTTTTTTTTTTTTTTCTAAATGAAATTACAAGTGCTCCTAGGAGGAAAGGATCGGTGGGGGGTGCTTTTTGAGTTTTTAATCAAAAAGGCACGTGGCGTCTATCAATTAAAACAAGAGGATCATTAGTTTGTCTTCATTCAAAAATAATAGGGTCCCGAGGGAATTTTCCTTGTTTTTTTACCCTTGACTCTTTCGGCGTTGTAAAATATCATTTCGAGATTGCTCCGTCGGAGATGGGAATTTTGTCCTCTTTTACAGCAATATCCTCGTATTTTGTTGGAAGGACTGAAATTGCATTTTTTTCGTACTTTTGAAGTACATTTTATTTTCATTAGTTTCAGATGTCAAAATATTTACTTGTAACATAAAAATGAAAGTTTTTTGGAATTTTTTAATACAAGACCTTTTGGAAATGCCTTTCTGTGACCAAATCGTAATATTTTTTGAGTTTTTTCATGCATTAAATAAACATTTGTAAAAAAAAACTATGATAGAAAACTATGTGGTTTTTCATTGTTGCTTACTCTAAACATTATTTCCTAGGACTCACTATTCAATCCCAATCAATGTATATGTGTATAATTACAATGTATCTTACACGATGTTCTTCTTCACGGAAAATAAAATCATAAAAGTTTCTCGTCGTGACCTAACATTGGAACAAAAAAAAAAAAAAAAAAAAAAAACACCAAGCTTCAAAAATATTATCAACCCTCATCCTCACCTTAAACCCGCACGTTTCAAAAAAAAGAATCGCGCTACAAATTGAGCGTACAGGTGCCTCCAACATCCGCAATGCAACTCTCGGGCAGTAACGTAAAGGAACGAAGACAAATAATTGCTCGCTCTACTTATACACGCACGTACATCAGCCTCGGGGGGGTTCATAAAACACACGTGCGGGTACGCGCGTCGGGCACAATTGTACACTCGAAATCAGAATCCGGTTACTCGCTCATCTTCTTCTCTTCGTTTTACGAAAAAAAAAAAAAAAAAAAAAAAAAAAAAGAGGGAGAAGAAGACAAACGAGAAACTCCCTCCGAAAAATATGCCGGGCACGTATCCTCTTTGTACTTTAGGGTCGGCGAATTCAGGTCGGAGGAACGGCGCAGAGACAAGAGCCGATGAAGGACACGGAGACAACACACGCGGCGTGTCTTTGGGTCACGGGAGGTGACGCCGCACGCGCCTATATACATCGTCGTGTGCATCCAACAGATTGCCGCGTCCATTGTCTCCACTTTTTTTTTTTTTTTTTTTTTTTTTTAATCCACACTATATGCGGCTCAAATTGAATTACCCCCATCTCGCGGACGTCTACACATTTTCGACCAGCACCTCTGCTTGCATGCATATTTATATTTGTTACGTTAATCGGGTGTGGGTTAAAAGGCCGTCGAAGCGCTTACGTATAACTCCCCCCCCCCTCTTGTACTCCCGATGGGTATGGAAATTTTTTACGAAAACCCGAGACCGTATTTGCAATTTCGATTCAATTCCGCTCGGCGCTTCGGACACACACACACATATATATATATACGCGTTACGCGGTTTTACTTTTACTTTGGGCTTGAGCGTACTGTTTCTTCCACCACTTGTATGAAACGTGTACCTTGCGTTACCACGTGCTTGTTGTGATCCGGGGGGGGATTTGTTAAGAGTGAAACTCCGAAAATCGAGTTTCAGCGCGTACGGGTATTAACTTTTAGAAAGTGATTTCGGCGCGCGGCTTCGAGAGCAAATCCCCTCCCCCCCCCTCGCGTACGAAAATTTCTCTCGCCCGTGTCCTGTACGGCACGAGAGATCGAAAATCGGCAGCGATCGGCAGGAAATCTCCGTCCGAACAAAAAAAAAAAAATGGGCCACTTGTCGAGGGAGATTTCGGCTGATAAAGCTTTACCCCGCGCACTCCTTTTTCGGACAGGTTTCCCTCGAGGCTTTACCGAAAGATGCGTATACCTACAAAGGAGGAGGTGGGGGCCAAACGAGCGTGTATATACAATGTACGCGCGTCCCGTACAATCGACCGAGGGAGGGAAAGGGGTGATTAATGCGTCACTTGTGCAAAGAGAGATCACTAATTATACCGGTGCGCGTCTCAATTTAATTCACCGGGAGATGGTCGTGTTAATTAAGTTGATTGATCAATCGAGAGCCACGCGCACGAGCTGGTCTCTTGGTTTTTCCACGCGTGGTTCACGGGATGTATGGTTGCACGCGTGCGTTTGTGTCGATATTTCATTGTCACTCGGTCGCGCGTGTATACGCATATCTATGCGTCCGGAAAAAAAAAAAAAAAAAAAAAAAAAAAAAAAAAAAATACAATATCCGAATCGCCCTCGCTTTTCTTTTTTTTTTTTCACGTTTTTTTATTTGATCGCGAAATTGACGGATGAGTGAGTAAAAAAAGCAGGAGAAAAACAAAAAACAAAGTGGAGTGGTGTTCTCGTTGTTGGGCCCAAAACACGCGAGTGGCATTTTTGTCACACATTGAAAGCTTTCGACCGTAAAGCGTCTGGAACAAAGTATACGACCCATACCTCGGCCCAAAGTAGTTTTTCGTGTCACCGGGCAAGGAGACACAGAGTGCGTCTATGGTGCTTCATCTCCCGTTGTATATAGGCGATGCCATTCAGCTTCACGACGTACTTACCCTTGAATAAGAGATGGGCGCGCGTGCCCAACCACACACCGTAAAGGAGGAAGCGCGGACCGCAAAGTGGACCATTTAAGCCCGAAAAAGTCTCCCGGGCCATTATTCTTCTCTCGCTTTCTCGTTTGCCATTTCGGACGTTATTATATTATGTCCACCGGGGGCGTAAAAGGGCAGGGCTGATCCGCAGTGTCCATAAGAAACAAGGACAAAAGCGGGCCATAAAAAGGTAAACGTAACTTGCGTGCGCGCAAACGAGGCCTATACAATGTGGCCCAAAGTGGCGCATGGATTCGACCATGCACGACGTATAACCGATATGGACGAAACGACCGAAGCCTCGGGCACGTCCGCGCGTGCGACCTCTCCTCTTTAAATACACACGTCAAAATTTCACCTGCAGCAGGTGGACGTGAAATACGTTTTCCCCGCCCAACATCGCGCATAAAGGGGGTAAAGTTTGACGACACGCACACGCGGCAAAACTATACTTTGTAAACTTTGCAGTTTCACCCCCAAAGTGATTGCGCGGACACAGTGACGCGGTGGAAACTTTGTGGTGAATACCAAAGGCGCTCTTGCTTTTATTTGTAAAAAAAAAAAAAAACTAACATTGGGTCAAAGCCAAGATCTGCTAAATCCTCCCTCGCGCGGTATGTCCTCTGGAGCGCTTATTTAAAAGTTGCTTCCGAGTTCGGCTCGTTGGCAAAGTAGATGCAGATATATGGAGATGTATCATCCCGAGGCTGTGCAGCAGGGGACAAACTCGTTTTCCCAACTTTACATTTTTTTCGTACTCTGCCTTTTTGTCGGTCTGACCCTGTTCCGCTCAATTTATTTCAGGCTCGTTCCAGAATAGTGGCGGTTCGTCGATCGATCATTCGATGATTTTTTTTTTTTTTTTTTTTGCTTGTCAGTCCTTGGTAATCCAGTGCTGGGTTTTCGAGTTTGCGGAAATTCCCGGACAGGCAGTTCACTGGGGCTCTCATCGAGTGGGAAAGTTCAAAGTGTCGACGAATAAAATAATAAAATGACAATTATAATGGTCGATCGTAGAGAGTGTTTGGAACGGCGGAACCTTTATATTTCCGAGATGGAATTGGATGACTTTTGTGAAAGTGGTATTATAGCTGCGAGTGGATGTCCCTTGATTGAATGTACGGTCAATGGCTTTTGTTGCTACTTGAGCTGTAAACGGACTCTGGTTTCAATACCTCGATACAAGGTGTGGGAAAAGAGAAACTATTTTAAAAGTACAATTTTCCACGCAAAGTCAATGCATAGTTATATTGGATCGATACAACTATTCCATCGCAAGGAAACAAAAAATAATAATAATAACCTTCTGTCGCAATAAGTTATTGATTTTTTTTAAACAAAAAATGAAAATTCCTTTGTGGTACCTCCGTAATCCGACACGTCAATGTGATATATTGTTACCTTTTTCTGGTGTGAGTTTTATACAAGCAAAATGACCAAGCAACGTTTCACATCCGAACGAGTGTCCGATGGGTCCCAACGAAACGCGAAACCTTTGAAAAATTTGCAGAATACACAGGTATGTATGTGTATACGTGGGTACGTCGCGATCTCTCGTTTTTCATCTCGTTGACTTTCGGTTCGCGAAGTTTTATCGCAGGTCGCATCCGATTAGTGGGTGCGCATGAAGAAACAGGAATCGAGAGACCATTTCGTGGGAATGAAAAAATTTATTGGAAAACGCTGATCCAGTTTCTCCAATTTTCGCTCTAATGACGTATGTTTATTTTATTTTTTATTTTTATTTTTTTTTATATTGTGAAGCACGCTTTTCCAAGCTTATTCATTTCTTCGGCTGAACTTGGAAGTGTACTTTGAACTTTATTCAATAGTAATAATTATCCGAATATTTGTTGATGAAATTCGTAATTTACCAAACGCATAGTTGTGAAACAAAACAAAAATCCTCCGTAATATTTAGTTAGTCAGATTTCTTCATTTTAGTTAGTTTAAGCTGTTTGAACCCCAAATATGACAAACTGATTCGTGTAATTTATGATTAAAGTTACAAATCCAACTATATTTACTTATAGGATAAACGTGCAATGATAATATGGTTGGCATATTTTTGTGCATATGATATACTTTCATAAAAAATAATTGATGCTCTTTGTGTGATTGCAGGGCTCAGAATGCGGTGGATCGGTTACGTGGCGGCGATACTCTGGTGGTCGTGCACCGCCAGATCCCTCAGCTCCATGAATCGAGGTCAGTTTACCTGCATACCATACATATATATATATCGCTACTCCACGCCCGAATCCCTCGCGCACTTGCGGTTTTCTCTCTCCCTTGCACCGCATAGCACCCATATGTACATATATGAGATCGTTATTGTCTCACTCCGATACCGACGAGTCCGAAAAGCCTGAGTTTTGGGTTGCCCCAGAGGAGAAATCGAAAACCCACGACTCCCCCCGTCCACTATATGTACATTGCCCGGCTTTCAACGATTCGCGCGATTGCCGTGAAATTCCAATGCCTGTATGATAGGCACATACTCCGATACGCGGTTGCTAATGAGCCTGCGATAAGACGGGCTCGCCGGAATTTCGCGGATCGGCAACGAGGAACGATTTATTTTTCTCCCTCTTTCGTATATGTTTGACCATTTCTGTTTTTCTTTTCGAATTCCTGTCATTCGTAACCCTCGTCTACACGCACATGTGTGTGTGTGTGTGTAATCTCACGGTTTTTAAACCACGTGGTATATGTATATATATATATATATATTTTTTTTTTTTTTTTTTTTTTTTTTTTTTTTTTTTTCCCCAATCGTTTTCTCTCCTGTAATTGATGAAAATTTTGCACTCACTCCCAAGGCATCGAGCGGTGCTTGTTAATGTACCGCTGCCTTGCAATCCTCCCCGGTACACATATACATGTACATAACATATACGCACGTGTGGGAAAACGAACGGCGGTATGGAGCTTAAACGAAGATCGAAGCTGTATGGGTAATTGTGCGATGTACATGCCGTGCAAACGCGGATGTGCAGGGGGTTGGGACTCGGAATAAAACGAGGGATTTCAAGCTTCCTCGTGGTACATTATAACAGGGTTAATCGCTGCCTCCGCCTCGCATACGGCACATTCTCCTCTTCCTCTTCTTCTTTTCGTTTTTCAACGGCAGATGTGACGCTGCATTACACCGCGCACTATATTAGCCGATCATTGGTCGTACGTTGCAGTACTGCCCTCCCTTATTGCGAATATCCTTTTATTCGTACGCTTTTGTTCGATAATCGTTTGACGGAGCAATACTTTGGGTTACTGGATTATATGACGCGCGCGCGCGTGTGTGTGTTTGCAACCCGCAGATGACTTTGCAGCAAAGCTCGTTTTATTACATCCGCGATTGGGAGGACATGAGATGTACAAACGAATGTATTAAAAGAAAGCCAATTGTATGTATAATAATATATTGGGTATACCTACGTACTATATTGTACATTAATTTATAGCCATCTTTATGTTTGCACCCAAAACTCTCATGCACCTATTGACGATCACTCGATAAATATATACCGGAATGTGTATGTGAGCGTCGTGTATGATCGGCTGCCCGAAGTTGCGTAACGAAAGGAAAAACCTTGAAGATAAAAAATAAAATAACTCCCATCGTATTTGTTGCTCATTCGTATGGTTGCCCATTAACTTTTGACATTGTGGTATTTGCAATACGTCAATAAAAGTAAAAGCATATCATCTACAAGTAAGTGACACAACGGTACACCTGAATGCACGTATGTTATATCTATATTATGTATTGAGAAAAGCAAGCAAGGAGTTACGAGAAATGAAAGCACCGATGATGATAATAATAATAATAATAGTAATAATAATACCAATGGACAACTACGACAAAATTTGATGTGGCGGTATTGCAGTGTAGTGTAGCGTTTACGAAGAAGATACTTTGCATGTGTACGTTATAAGTAGTTATAACGGGGAGAGGCGAGCGTGTGTAAAATCTCTCTCTCTCTCTCTTTCGCTTCCGGCGGTTATACGGAACTTAGCCGGCGTTCATACCGTGAATGCTAATGTCCCTCCCTTGCGATGACAGTTACAAACCACATTTGTACAAACGTGCCTCTGTATCGCTCCTGAAGCAAAGGACGGAGGAGCCCCCGACGAAACTGGGACATCGGAGTTTGACGCGCGATCGGAAGCCAAGCCGAAAAATCGGTTCGATACGCCGACACGCCGATTTTCTTATCGACAAAATTGCTTGTGCATAACGCAATGCATTGGGTATAACCCTGCATATANTGTCTTACGCGAAAAATATCAAGGGGTATTAGTTTGGAAATAGAAAGGCGGTAGTTGAATTTGGTGGTACAAAAAGATACAAAATTACCCTGAATTTCACGTTTCCAGGTTTTTTTACTCCACTTCATTGGCAGAGCTCGACACCTTTTAATACACAAATGTTACGATTACACGTCCAAGCTTTCAATGATAATGACGTATGTACATAATATCTCGTTCTCACGATATCCTAAGAGGGGACGCATATAGTTACATCACATAAATGCAAATGACGACGAACCACTTGCACCATGCAGCCAAGACCACGAAACAACAATCTTTTTTTTTTTTTTTTTTTTTTTTTTTGCGTGGAATCGCTCGTATACAATGCAGGTGTGTATATGAAATATATTCGATGCCCCCAGGAGGCGCCGGACAAGCTCGGGAGCAACCCAAGCCTGAACTTCATCCACACGGAGCGGCCGCAGTGGGCCACCAAGCCGCTCTCCTCGAACAACCGGCCCGCGGGCCTCGAGTACTCCAAGCCCTACTTTTCGGTGAAAACAACGTCGACGAGTCCGACGACTGCCGGCACGACGCATCGGCCGTCGAGGCCTACGACGACGATGACCGCGACCGCCTCCACGTCGTACTACACTGGCCAGTCGACTAGGTATGCCCGACTCACATTTGCTAGTTGGCCGGGCTTGGGGGAACTTTTGAATCTTACCAAGACTGATCAACTTACCCCTCCAATGGAGACTGATGTTGCCCCTCGAGTGTGGTTTGTCGAAAAAAATTTTTTTTTTTTTTTTTTTTTTTCTTTCCAACGGCTTATCTTTTAATATTCGTGGCCAGCTCCGCGCGATTAGTGTATAATGGGACACGAAACGAGTGCGCCTATAGTGGAGCTTTATGCGGTCGTAAAACACGACAGCCATAAATACATCAGCGAAACGGGCGTGCGTGTGTCTTTTTTTTTTTTTTTTTCTCCCCCAACTTCGTTCAAGCCGACCGTACAAAACATTCGTGGAATGGTAAATCGGAGGGCGCGTACACGCGATACACTGTTTTTTTTTCTCTCTTTTCTTCGAAATACCGCGTTGCCCGCGCATAAAATTGAAGATGATGTATTTTTTTAGGTGTTTCGATTTTAGTCGAGTGACGTTCTTATTAATGAAAAAAAACAAAAATTAAATAAAATAAAATAAGTTTTGATTAGGAATTTGTTTATTCGTTTTTTCGTTGTACGAAAAAATTGAAAAGTTCGAGGCGAGTCATGGGATTCCCCGATTTCGGAACGATGTACCGACCTCAAAATTTTTTTCTTTTTCATCAATAGAAGATTAAGAATAGTTACCAGTACTATATTTTAAATTTCTATTTCGTTGCAATTTTTATGGTTCAACACAATGTCCAAACAAGTTTCACGTCATTTGTAGTTTTTTTGGAAAAAACTAATTAATCAACAAAAAAAACTTTGACAAAGTACGTATTTCATTGTAAGATCCACAACTTTGGCTTTGCACGCGAAACGAAAAAAGTTATCTCGAATAAATTGTTTTTTTTTTTTCTTTTTTCTTCTCGTGACGCTGCAGTCAATACTTACGATGGCAAATATTTTTCCCTCCGATGACAACTGTCCGCACGTTAACCATCAGCCTGTCTACGAAAATTGAGCTTATACTTGGATTGCAAATACTCGAGTTGTAACTTGATCACGTATACTAAAACTCGGTCGATTCGCTCTATGTGCCCGTACAATCGCTCAAAGTCCCACTGAATCGAAAATCGTTTTTATGTTCGGTATGATGAAATAAGCCACGCTTGGTCCAGTCGTCACTCAGCTCCTTATCATTGTAGCGCAGCCGGATCGGTGCCCCAAACGGCTCACTGGCAAGTGACGACGGAGCCGGCCTTCGTCACCCGGCACAAGCCGTCCCTGTCCTCGTCCCTGAGACCCGAGAGCAGCAACGTCTGGCCGCCCAAGCCACCCCACAAGCCCCAGTGGCCCGAGTCCCAGAGGCCGAGCTTCAAGCCCACCGAGACCCAAGAGGTACGTATATATCATCCAAACGGAAGTATAATGGTTTCCTTTCTTTCTTTCTTTTTTTTCTCTCCCCTCCGGGACCTTTTAAATTCAATTAGTTTCAATGAAAATAGACGAGGCTTTTTTTTTTTTTTTTCTTAAAAGGGGGAAAGGGATCAATTGAAACAGTTTCGCGAAAAGTGTGCATGAAAGTATACCGTGGGTCTTTTGCGAGGAAAGCAGAAAGCCTCGATGTCTTACGCGAAAAATATCAAGGGGTATTAGTTTGGAAATAGAAAGGCGGTAGTTGAATTTGGTGGTACAAAAAGATACAAAATTACCCTGAATTTCACGTTTCCAGGTTTTTTTACTCCACTTCATTGGCAGAGCTCGACACCTTTTAATACACAAATGTTACGATTACACGTCCAAGCTTTCAATGATAATGACGTATGTACATAATATCTCGTTCTCACGATATCCTAAGAGGGGACGCATATAGTTACATCACATAAATGCAAATGACGACGAACCACTTGCACCATGCAGCCAAGACCACGAAACAACAATCTTTTTTTTTTTTTTTTTTATTATTCATCGTACATAGGTGTACCACCATCAACACATACATCCGGATGTCGCTCCTCTCCTTACGCTCGCTGACCTTAATGAAAGGAAGCTGCGATAGTTTTTCCGGCCACGAGCTCGCGAGGAGTAGAAAAAAAGGCCGAGACGTGACTTTCCAATTTGGCGCTCTCTTTTCGCAATCCACCGGGCAAAAAAAACTTGAAAAGCCCAATGGTGCGTCTCTCTCTCCCAAGGTCGCTCTCTCTCTCTCTATATATATATATATCTCCACTCCCTTGTTCGCGACATCCGCGCGACCGCGTGAAAGGCGTTTTTCCGCGAAGGAAACTCTACCGTCCCTCTTTCGCTTTAATTTCCCCGCGAGTACGTCACGCATACACGCCCGTACCCCGCGAGCTGATCCACTATGGGTGTTTGTAATTTACCGCTCGAAGCTCTGGATGTGTCGAGCGAGAACACCACTGGCTGTCGGACTGATGGGACGGGTTTTAGTTTGTTCTCGGTGCGTATAGTTAAACGCGCACTTTTTTCATTTCCATTTTTTCAAGGTTTTTTCCTTGTTTCGTTTGGACCCGGATTTTTGAATCAGCCATTATATATCTTTACGAAAAAGTAGCGTTGCTTTTTAAGACCGCACTTGAGCAATAGCGTACCTATACGGTTACTTGGACGAACGACGCACCTACCCCTGCCTCCCTATATTCAACGGAGGATTGCAGAAATTGAGCTTTTAGCGCAGCGCGCGTGTGACAGGATCGAAATTGGTTCCCGATCGAGTCATTCAAACCCAAACGGTGGATGAAGTATACCCACCGACTTTAAGTTTTCCAATCATCCGAACCCACCCCTTGTACCGTGGGGGTGGATGCGGTCTCCCGCGAATCTGCCGTGTACCACCCCACGAGTCCCGAACGGTACACTTTTTCCAAGCTCCGGACTGACGGTCGTTTTAAAGCTGAAGAGTATTTGAAAAAAAAACAATTAAATCCACCTCTACGTGTACCTCTCTGTGGGTGTCTGTTGCAGGGCAGCACTTTTTTAATTGCAATGCTAACACTTTGTTCAAAATCTTCTATAGTTTGGAAAAAAGTACACGTTCTTCATTTCCGATTGTAACGCAATTGGTACGGTCACGCAGATTTTCCAGGGGGCAAAAAAAAACAAGGCACAAGTTTTTGTGTGCGTTTGATGACGCGATGAATGTTCGGTTGCGCTTATGTTCAAACTCACCAGAACCAATCAACTTGCTCGCGGTTCGGGAATCCCCTGATTTGCTCTGCGCAAAGCACAACTATTTTTTATACAATTGTGTTGATGTAGGCGTTGAAAAAAAAAAACGCAGCCTCTTACGGTATGCAAGTAAAAAAAAAAAAAAAAAAAAAAAAACGCGTGAAAAATGTCGCAGAACAACCACAAGCACAACCACGTGTACCAGAAGCCCCACTCGGCGCATTACATCACCACGTCGTACCTGGAGGCCCCGACGAAAGCTCGACCGACGAAAAAGTCGACGACAGCGGCTCCGGTGACCACCACCTCGACGCCGACCACTTCAACCTCGACCACCTCCTCGACGACCTCCTCGACAACGTCAACGACGACCCACCGGCCGGCACCGAGTACGGCGTCGACGACGCACGCGGTGGAAACAAGCACGGAGGCGAGGACGGGCTCGGTGCTGACGGTGCCAGCTGTGGCCGAGGGTGGTGAGCACCAGCGGGCAATGTCCTGCGGCGTGCCGGCCCTGTTCCCCAGGATGCCCGAGACGCGGATCGTGGGTGGCAAGGAGGCCGCGTTCGGAAAGTGGCCGTGGCAGGTGTCGGTGCGCCGGACGTCCTTTTTCGGCTTCTCGAGCACGCACAGGTGCGGCGGTGCGGTCCTCAACGACAACTGGATCGCCACCGCTGGTCACTGCGTCGACGAGTGGGTCTAGTGTTTTTTTTTCTCCTCCCGCCCCCCCCCCGCCCCGCTAATCGTTGGAAAATGTAACTGTTTGTTTGCTTCCTCGTAGCCTGTTGACGTCGCAGATCCGGATAAGGGTGGGCGAGTACGACTTCTCATCGGTGCAGGAGCGTCTGCCCTACGTTGAGCGGGGCATCACGAAAAAGGTGGTCCATCCGAAGTACAATTTTTTCACCTTCGAGTACGATCTGGCCCTGGTGAGGCTCGAGTCGCCCCTTACCTTCGCGGCCCACATATCGCCCATCTGTTTGCCGGCGAGCGACGAGCTGCTCATCGGGGAGAACGCTACGGTCACCGGCTGGGGGAGGCTCAGCGAGGGTGGCACTTTGCCCTCGATTTTGCAGGAGGTGAGTTTTTCTTTTCTGTCCGTTTCGAGGACTTTTTTTTAATTTATTTATTTATTAAAGGTGTATTAGAGGTGTGAAAAAATGATTATGCCCTGTTGAAAATGCAATCGTTCCTCGAGTAGTGATATAATTGAAAGTAATAAAAATGTAGTGTTTTCTCGTGGTTTATTTAAAACGTAAAAATATACCAACTGCATTTGGGGTAAAATTCTTTCAATTGTGTTTTCTGAGCGTATATTTGCCTGGGTCTTCCAATTCTCTTTTGGATGGCATTATTTTTTTCATTTGTTCAATAGTATCCGTGAAGATCACTTGGCGATTTCGTCAAGATTTAATTTAAAAATAAATCAAAATTATTGTTGCCCAGGTATCCGTGCCGATCGTGAGCAACGACAGGTGCAAATCAATGTTCCTCAGAGCTGGCAGGCACGAGTTTATACCTGAAATATTTCTCTGCGCTGGATTTGAAAACGGTGGCCAGGACTCGTGTCAGGTGACTATGATAAAAAATAACACTTTAATAATAAAAAAAAAAAAAAGTACCAAATGTTTTTTTTTTTTTTTTGAACCGATAATAATTATTTTTCACAGGGCGATTCAGGCGGTCCACTGCAGGTACGGGGCAAGGACGGCCGTTACTTCCTCGCCGGTATTATCTCTTGGGGCATCGGCTGCGCCGAAGCCAACTTACCTGGCGTGTGCACGAGAATCTCGAAATTCGTCCCTTGGATCCTCAAAAACGTCACATGAGCCTCTTCGTTTTTCCCAGGCCATCGTTTGTACATTTTTTTTTTTTTTTTTAATTTCTTTTCTGTTTCCACCATTGGAATAGAACACCGATTGCGTCCAATTTCGTGGGCACAAGTTTATAGCATATACAGTACGAGAATTACTTGTACGCTAACCAGAAGTGATACAACGACTGTTGTCGATAATGATATCAATGACCGGTGATTTATTTATTTATTTATTACTTTTTTTTTTTTTTTTTACCTTACCAAGACGATTTTTGTTCCCGTGCTCGAGATGTACAGAAAACGAAATTGAAACTGCGTACTCAAAGAGTCATTTGCATGTACGAGCACAAGAGTATAGGAGAAACAAAAGAGTCAGAGCAACCAATTACTGCCTGAATATTTTTGTATTTACATATATATATATTGCACACACACTTGTACACATACATGTAAATTTAAGAAATAAAAATAAATAATGTTTAATATACATGTTCTTATATAATATATGGTTGAATACGCTCGCGGCCAAAAGTCACGTTATATATTTATGTACCTACGCGTGCGTGTGGATGTGAGCGGATGAAATGTAAAAAGTCTGAAAATTCCTACTCTCACGGCGAATGATATATATACATGTATTTTTGAATCCTAGTACCTCGAAATAACTGGAAAAAAAAAAAAAAAAAAAGATAAAGGTATTTTCGTGCAAAATCGTTTCACACTTGGCATTATTATCTATTTTATTCACTAAAAATTATGTTGGTGAAAGAAAAAAGAAATTAGCCGACGATTATCAGCGAGTGGGTAAAAAACAATGATTCTAATACTAGTCGCCGTAGATAAACCAAGATAGGATTTTCGCGTGTGCGTGCAAATCTGCGAGATTATCATTTAATCACTTTTGTAAATGCTGCGCTCTTGCCCATCATCATAAGCTTAATCGTCATCAAAGTAACCGTTCGTTTTTTTTTTGTTTTTTTTTTTCACATCATCTCGTGTTTTCGTCTATCGATTTTATGTACACACGCGTGTATTTTTTTGTACAGGTTATAATATTATATCATTCTAGATTTATAATTATTCGTATCATCTCCTGACACTGCCGATCATCCATGGATACACCTTGTTTACTTTATACGTTTAAAAATTAGATTCAATTTTTTGTACAAAGTAGCACCAACTTATACCTTAACAGCTCGTAAAACCAAGTTATACACAATATCATTCAGTTGATTGTAAAAAATGAATTTGTTTGTAGAGCTTGACAATTTTGTTATCTTTAAGTATTGCCAAATAAATACAAGTTGATTATTATATACGTACTTGGCGTTTTGAAAATCTAAAAAAAAATTATTCCCTCATACCTATTTTTATTTCATTTTCAATGAACACTCATGTGTTATCTGTCAATTTCTTTGCTTTTGACTATTAATACTTGAACGTACTATTATGTTATTGAACGGATAAAAAAAAAACAATACCCGAAAGTTGAATTTACTGAAAATTTTAAGCCATCGAAGGTTTTTAAAATTATCACATACGTATCCGTACGAATTTAAGATGAACCTGTGACTAAAAAATGGTTTCATCCAATATATTTATCTTCTAGTTGATCAGCAAAACGCATCCACATGAGACGGATTCATACGGATGGTATTTGTAGCGAAATCCATCATGTTTCCTTCCGCAAGACCTATCGCACATACCATGCATGCTCGAAAGAAGTGCAAACCCCGTAATGGTGAAACTGAAAAATTATATTTCAATCAATCAGTATGAATTTGATGTTCACCTTACTTGTGATTAGAGTAGGTGTTTCCATTTGACTTCAAACGTTAAAAGGGTCTATTGATACTAATTGTTACTTAAGCGAGATAATTCATAGGAAAGAAAAGATTAAGAAAAATTAAATTAAATACGTTACACAAAATCAGTTCTTTTTTTTCACTTTTCTCGGTGTTTCGTGTAGCATATAAAACATTTTTTTTATTCACCTAAATCTCATTCATATTACTAGTATAGTACGTGTTTCGCTTTAAGCTGTGAGTCCAACTGACCTTACAGTCAGCAACTCAATAATACGGCGTTGCTTTTACCTGTAGTAAAACATGACACTCCAATGGAAAATGTTTCCTCAGCTTGCCGTGAACTCCATATTTCCATCTGATTTAGAATAAAGCTCATGATTTCTTGGTTCGCCTTTATTTTATTTCTATTTGCGAAAAGTTACTTAAGTATTTTCAACCCTACTATCGATAAAAAGTAAATACGATATTATTATTAAGTTTTTTTAGTTTTTATATCAAGTTTTTTTTTTATTAATTACTAATCCCTTACTACCAAAAATATTATTCGAAACTGGTGCTTAATTGGATATTTAAAGGTGTAACACTCTCGGACGCTGCTGCTGCTAACACACAGGACGGACTGAATAATCTCCTACCTAATTATTTGTCTTTTATTTTATCTTGCGGATTTTACTGTGGACTCTAAGTACATGTTTTTTCTTTTTTTTTTTTTTTTATACTAAACATACAATTATTCGTATTACAATCGATGATCATTTTATTCACCTTAAATTTGATATTCTTACCTAACATGTACTTGTACATGGATAGCAATATCAACTAAAACTATATATCCATCGAGCTATAACCACCTTAGGAATACAAGTTTCACCTCTAGATCATATTATAGCCGTGCAAACAACGAATTGGTCATGGTATTTATTTACTTCATATCCTATCCAACAAATAACCATAAGTGTTACGCATACGTATATGCACACATATTGAATAAAAATCCCGTTAAATGTGCCCAACGACCATTGAAATACGTTCATCATAGACTCATCTAGATATAAAAGTGCAAAAAAAAAAAAAAAAAAAAAAAAAAGAAAATTCCTTTAACGGACGCATAAAATTTCGAATCGATCGCGTTCTCCTCCGTGGAAATCAAGTCCCGATTCAAATTCAAATGGAGCCTCACTGGGCTACTGATGACCGGCCGACTGCAATATCCCGCTCCGTAATGTTCGTCCGTACGTATATATACATATATTATGGTCGAGCGGGGGATAAATGGCTCGAACGACTTCCTCGGCTCCTCAGAGTATTCGAGAGTTGAGGGGATCGTCGATGCGTCCGGCTATGAGGGACACCGACGTCTCGTTGTCGATGATGAAGTAGAGGAACGGATGCTCCGCCGTAAAGGTCACCAGACCCAGTCTGTCCAACAGGCCGTTTGCTGAAATAGTTACGGTACGAGTCACGACATAATATACCCGATTCGCTCGAAATTTTTTTTTTACCATTTCGTAAACCTGTAATCAATGAGGTATCCTTCGAACCCCACACGGTTTTGTAATTGACATCAGCGCAAAAAAAAAGTCAATGATGGCTGAGTTGAACATGTAATTGTACCTCGGATCTCGTGTATTATACATACATGTGTAAGGTATTTGCGCGAAAATTGTCAAAATTCAAGTAAGTAACGAAACAGCAAATAGGTGATATCTTGGGTGCCAAGTGAAAGAAAGAAGGCCTTGGAAAAGGCGTATCCCTAAAATCCCGCGATAACGTAGCCCATGTGGAGCGAACTGTACCAGCGTAAAATTACTACTCTCGTCTCTGCCGTTATACCGATAGCGTCAATTAAAGTTTAAGGAATGAAAGGGGGAAAAAAAATAGTCCGGAGTAAGAAAATCCCATTAAACTCCAAAGGCATTTCTAATTACCAACTTTGCGACCCTCCTCGATTCGAACGAGGAGGCGTGTTATGAGGGGTTTCAAGCGTACGTATAGTCATTTGCACGTGAATACCTGTCAGCCATTTTAGCATTTAAGTGTTGCGAAAGAAAAAGGAAAAGATGCGACGGGGGGCTTTCAAAACTCCCGATGTGCACAAGCGACGGAAGAACCCTTTACTTAACGCGAGCAAGAAGGGGGAGGACATTATTTTTCAGCCTCCGCGCAACGATTGCAAAGAAAGGAAAATCTATGTTTGTATTAACACTGCGCGCGAAACAAAGAAAACCCATCCATACTTATAGACACACACACATATATAAATAAGAAGAGACGAGGACGAATCGGACATTATATTCCTCTGTCTCACATTCGCTCGGTATATCCCTCGTGGTGGCGCGTGACTCGCGCACAGCCGCCAGGATACCAGCCATTAGGTCGTAGGATCTCTTTTAATCTCGACAATGCTGAGAAAATTCTTGGCTATCATTCAGTGCGGTCTTTGGTGTCGTTGGATGGAAAACGCGGGATTTCGATTAAAAAATATAGATACCCACAGCAGTATATAGTCTGCGGCAATTGCCGTTCTTCCGATGCTAATGGCTGCCGTGTTGTTACTAGGTTTTTTTTTTTTTTTTTTTTTTTTCTTTCCTTCGCTCCTTCAAGAGGAGATATCTATCGGGATACGAGAGCGGCGCTGGAAAACAGCTCTGAGTGATTTTCAAGAATGTGCTTTAGACAACAAAAGACTCTCTTTCGTTACTTATGCTTTTCGAGATTCTCGAACAACCGATCACACGTTACATATACTTCACTGGAACGTAGAATCAGAGCCGATAAACGTGATTTGTATCACCTTTCGAACCACCGGTTTTAGTATTTAAAGTATTTAAAACACCGTTTCATGATTAAAAAACAAAAAAAAAACAAAAAAACACAGTATAGTTTCGAAACAGTAATCACTGATTTCTATGTGCACCGGTACCCACTTACCCAAAATGGATAAATTTAATATGCATCCCGTCGAATCAACATCGCAAGGAGGCGAAATAGGGTCTGCACCCTCGGCACGAGCTCGTATTACGTATATACACACACACACAATCAACGTTACCCCCCCGGACAACATGGTTAACATTCTCCTCGACGGGTATCCTCGTATTCTCGAGTCACCATTACCAAATGAAAACAATCCAACTCGCGGGAGGTATTCACAGAACGCCCCCGTGGAATCCAATCATACGTCGCACCCATCGCCGGAAGGATAAACTAATCCGACCCCGTTGTGTAAACTGCGCAGTCCATCGTGATACCCTCTCTCTCTCTTTTTTTTTGCACGCAAGCCGGCTTTCTCCCCTTGTTTGTGTGCGCGTTTAATTCATCGGAGTCGAGTTTTCCGGAAAATGGGCCAATGCCACAACCACCCCACCTGCCCCTGTTTGCCCCTACATGGAGGTACACGGGGAAAAGAGTTTACTCGATAAGGTGTATTATTTTCCCAATTGGTCGTCAAAAGCAAGCCAAACATTCTCGAATTGCCGTGCAAGTGTACACGGTTGAATTATTTAACGAGGACGTTACGCAAGACGCGCCGTCGGAGTTACTTCACCGGCGGATCGATCGTAAAAGTAAAAATTAAATCCTCCGCGCGATGCCGAACAATGGCGGCCCGGGATTGCACAACCGCGTGTATACAAATCGCCATTTCGAGCCTTGGACCGGTATATGAGAAAAAAACAAAAAACAAAAAAAAACGACTTCCTCCACAAGTAGTAACAGCCGGGTATGGTCGGACAAACAATTTTTTCGTTTTTTTTTTTTTTTTTTTGACCGCGTGTAAAAGTGCTACTGTGAAAATTGAAGCTATAATGTCGAGCTTTTTTTTTTTTTTACCTGGACGCAGGTAGCGGTACTCGCTGTTGTGGCCGGTCGGCGCGTCGCTGTTGTTCCTCATGAAGTTCCTTATGTTGATGGCCACGCTCTGCTGGACGTCCCTGGCGTACACCCCCAGGTCGGGCGTCATCGGCGACAGGTCGGCCAGCCGCGGCTCGAAAACGTCCTTTATCCCCAACTGCAGAGGCGAAAACGAGGGCAATATTATTCTCTCCCTCTCTTGTATATAATATATTTACGCAGGAGGGGTTTCAGCGGAGGGAAAATTGATGAACCCCGAGAGAAAGGGAGGGGGGATCTAATCTCGCGAAATTTGCTCGGCGAGTCTTCGGCCCATCTAAATCAATCGGATCGAATTTAAGGGCGTCATCTTCGCGTGTGCGCGTCCCAGGGATGGGATACAAAGAAGGCAGATCGACGTTGACGTAGATCGTGCTTTTTTGTCCCCGGGGAATCCGATGTCGCTCCTCCTCCGACGTGTGGGATGTTCTACTAATGAGAAACGACCCCTTGGAATTTTTCGTGTCCCTGGATTGCCTCCCTCGTATCTACTTTTTTTTATACCACACCAATGTATATATATATATATATTTTTTTTTCGTCCGAATCAACTTTCTCGATTATACCACGTCAAAATGGGTAATGAGTTCCGAATGAACTCGGTTTGTTCGTTTTTCCGAGCGAGGAAAAGAAGCTCCTCGGCACAGGTTGGATGGTGACGATGATTCAAAGAGCCACTCGACCGGATTAGTTTATCAACGCTGCACGTCGCTTGTCTTTGGAAAGCTGGGAAGCGCAAATTTTGTGCAACTGACGCCGAAAAACCATTGTGATTCTTACTTTTAATGAGTTTTATTTATTTATTTGCTTTTTTTTTTTCACTTGGCGCAAACGAAGCTTGACCGTACACACAAACAAATGGCTCGACGAAATTCGTTCCGAGAAAACGCGCGTGAATTTTTTATCGACATCCCCCGAGTGCTCGATAAATAAGGGACCAAACGTTTCGGGCTGGCGTGTGTGTGTAGGCCGGCGGTAATAAATGATAACAAACGGCGTTGGGCTATTCGTCATCATCAAATCGACGCCCCCGATTACCTTTCCTATATATTTGTTTTTTTTTTTTTTTTCTTTTTCGTTCCATCCTCGTCCGCTTCGACTCTGAAATTGAAGGGACCTCGTTTGTTCGCTTCTATACATTATAGCGCGAGAGCCCGTGCAGCCAAATTAGAATTAACGTCACCAGGAAAAAAAAAATAAAAATAAAAAACCAAGGGAGCGATTTGTATATTTTTTTTGCGCCAATTGTATCTTTAGGATTAGTATTTTATCGATTGGAAAAAAAACAGCTCACCCCTCCTCCGCTATGCAGAAGCGCGCGACCTCACGGAAGAGGGGAGAAAAAAAAGTCCCATCAAACGCACACCCTTATCTCCTCGGATGAAAAAAAAAAAAAAAAAAAAAACCCTCCCCCCTCGCCACGGCAAAGGACCAAAGAGAAAAATCAAAGGAAGAGGTCAAAGAGGGAGAGAGAAAGAAAAAACAAACTCACCCGTTGCAGGTAGGGGGTGAGGGTTACGAAGCCCCGTAGCATAAAGGAGGGTATGGTCGCGCGTATCCAGGTGGGCTGTAGGTGCTTGCGCAGCAGTCGTAGACTCTGGCCCGTGAGCTCGCGCCCCAATCGGCTCGTATCGACCCTCTCGGTCGGCAGGAACAGCAGCACGCTGTACTTGGGATTCTACGCCCACGCGCACCCCATCGTATTTGTTGTTGTTTATTATTATTATTATTATTATTATTGTCATGACAAGGCGACAATGTAACATTGTAACGCTCTTTGTTTTTTTACCCTCGATTTTTTTTCTTACATAATTTTTCGATACCCCGTTTTTTTTTTCTTCTTTTTTTTTCTCATTTACATCGACAATTAAGTTTCAAGGTATTTCAAAATAATTCCCTCGTGGAAATGAAAAAAAAAACAAAAGAAAAAAAAAATTGTACTGACGTCCAGCGGAAACTCGAGCCCGACAGCCTTGAGGGTGGGAAAGTAGGCGAAGGGCAAAACGGTGGTGTAGATGGCCGCGGGCACCTGCACGGGCTCGCACCCGTTAACCAGAAACTGCAGCTCGGTCGTGTCCTGAACGTTGGTGGGCAGAGCCGGCTGGTCCGCCCATGCGTTCAAGTCTTGCATCCACGGGCCCTCCTCCACCAAGTGAAGGGATCGTCCTTTTAATCATAACGTTATCGTGATGTATATACATATATGTATATATATATATGTGGTCGTGGGTGTAATACGTGTATGCGTGATATATACGTGCGCTGTCAAACGCACAGAGCCAAGCTCTCCTTTTGCGGTGCACACGTATATATATATATATATATATATATATATATATACACCTACACCCCTAATCCGATGAAACGTCAAAAGCGACACATGTACTGTTCTCAGGGCCGCGGTGAGCATGAGACGTAGTGCACAACTTTCATATTGGATTGTGGTATTGACAGTTTAAGCGGGAAATGTTTATCCGCGAAAACTTTGTTTCAACCAATCGGAGGTTGATTAAATTCTTATGGGAAAACTCGACGCGTGGGAAAAGCATGACGAGTCGCCTCTCGATCCATCCACGTATATGCAACAAAAACTAATTTGCATTTCAAGTAAATTCGTGATTATTCAAGTACAGCGTAGGATTGGTTTTTTTTTTTTTTTTCATATCGAGGCAAAACAAGGGATAGATACCAAACTCTCGCCCTCATATACCGTATACACGGAAGATCGGAAAACCATACGTAATAATGAAATTCAACGATTTCCCTTGAAGGTCTCTCGAGCGAGGGAAAGCCGGCTCCAACGCATCCGTAGCCAATTACTCTCTACCCCCGACTTCAAGAGGCCTCTCTATCTCTCTCGAAATTTGAAATTATTACATTGGTATACAAAAAAAATGGAGATAACGGACACATTGCACGTGCACACCGTAAATTTTACACATTCCACATAATATAGCTGGTGATATACCATCTCTCTCATCGGCACGTAGATGGACATTTGTAGCCCCAAACATGTACCACCCTTTGTTTTCCACCCATTTGCCGTTTGTTTACCATTTAAAGTTGAGCGATTCGTGTTGGTGTGAGACCTTATTACACGTGTACCTGGATAATTGGAGTAGTAGCCGTAGGTGCTGCGCCGTCGCCTCCTCCTCAAGTTCGGAGCGGCGACAGTAGCGATGTCATCCCCCAGCCCGGTGGTAGTCTCGGCGGCGCTTGGCACCATCGTCGACCCGATCGCCTCGTTCGTCGTGGTCGGCCTGTAACAGCCCAACACCCATCATCCACGCCTCGATCGAAAATTTTTCCCGCTCCCACCCAAAACACACTTACTGCCTAGTGGTGCTCGGGCTGGTGGTCGCCATCGTGGTGGTGGCTGCATCCGTTGTCGTGGTCATCGGTTCCTGCGTCGTGGTTGTCGCCCTCGTTGGACTGGTCGGCGGTGGGACCGTCGTACCCGCTGGCGTCGTCGAGTCATCCACGGAGGGGTCCATCGTCGTCGCTACCGTCACGCCGTCCATGGACATCGACACACCCACTGCATGATATACCCACAATTGTATGCACACTCGTACCGTGTACTTTGTCTCTCACGCCGTCACGTGCAGCATCGTCATTACATTATATGTGTATTATATGTGTACCGTTCAACGGGGTCTGCTCGGTGGAGGTGGTGGTCGGAGGTGTGGTGGTGGTGGGGGAGCCCCTGAGGCCGAAGCTGTTGGTCCCGTTGGGCCCGAAATTCGACAGGTCTATCGTGAGGTCGAACCCGTAGATCCTCAGCACGGCCTCGTACTCGGGCCGCAAGCTCGTGTTCTCCCGGTTGAGGTTCAGCCCACCGAGGAAGCCGTCGGGATTCAGGTAGGTCTGCGCACCGACGACCAAGCACCAATATTGCCGGGCGGGGGGTTGGGGGGAAATTAATGATAAAAATTACCACTCCGCGCTGTTTATATTCAACGGCAATGATCATTATTGCTTCTACAGCATATCCTTTCAGTAATTTATTGCGTACTGTCGAAGCAATAATAATAACACATAATTTTCTGTTTATATATACTTGCAAAGCGGTAACATTTGCTGGGGAATTTGGTGTAAAATTTGAGGGGGATGGCCCGTACCCTTAGCGTCCGGTGTATGTCGCCGAGGCCGAGCCTCACGATGGCCCGGTCCCTGGGGAAGCCCAAGCACTCGACGATCTGTTGCCTGCCCCGGCCGGCCGAGCCTTCGTAGAGGGCGGCGAGGATGAAGCCGAGCCCGGCCGGGGAGAAGGCCACGTTGCCGGCCTCCACGTATTGCTGGAGGACCCGAGCGCCCAGGGAGTTGACCACGTCCGCCATGAGGTCCACGGGCTTGATGAGGGGCGGCGCCGGCACCCGGTACCTATGCTGCCACCCGGCGTGCGGTTGTTGGTAGTGCAGTTGCGCGTCGTAGTAGTGGCCGTGGGCTTCCGGTGGGGCTGTTGGGTCATTTAATGAGACAAAAAAAAAAAAAAAAAGGCGCGGGGCATGAGTATACGGATGGGCCGTTCAACGCCACACGTGGATAACGACCCTTTGTTTCGCCCTTCGTCGTTAGATAAAGACAAGTGCGTGCTGGGTTTACAATACTTTGGGTTATTGGTCAAATATACGGTGTGTTTTTTCATTTTTACATACGACGTTTGGGACGAAACCTATTTCCGTGTACATGAGCTAAAAACAAAAAACAACACCGGAGTTTTGCTCTTGGAAAGTGTTTTTGAACAAACCCACGAAACAATGATCATGACTGACATCGTACAGATGTCAAATTGACGCCAAATTCCATCACTATGATGTCTTTTAGTTATCAGTTGTCTGAAGATAACATTTTGACAATTTATAACTAAAAGACGTCACAGTGATGGAATTTGGCGTCAATTAGACATATATACGAAGTCAGTGTCATCAATGTTTTGTGGGAAGATAACGATTCGCCGACAAGTCGTAGCCAACGAGGGGCTACGGTGAATTTTGCAAGTTAAAAGGAGTAGGTATTGTGTAGGAGCAAAACGTATTGTATGATTTTCATGCGAGACGAGTCCTCGTGATTCAAGAGCTTCCACGTATAGGTCTCGATATGCCCACAGCGAGCAAACGACGCAAATCAAAGTACTCGCAAGGAGCGCGAATAAGTTGTATTTTCTTTGAAACTCCCTTCAAAGGAGTACATGGTATACAGGAGACGCCTTGGTTTTATTTTTCAAAGGGGAAGGGGGAGAAGGGAAGAAAAAAAAAAGAATCGGCGGACGCGCCACCCGCACTATTTTTCCTCGGAATCGCGTTCTCTCTCTCTCTCTTATCTGCACAAAGGATGAAAAATCCCTATTTCTATCTCTGACTCTGATCCGTCGAGCGAAAACGCGATTGGCGCCCGGGAGAAAAATCTTTGATTTGATTTACGACCCGGTGGGAAGAAGAAGAAGAAGAAGAAGAAAAAGCACGCGCATATACGCGTCTCTTTATACCTTAAATTTTACACTTTTATTTATGTTTTTTATTTATTTTTTAACACCAAATCATCTGTTTTCAGTTGGAAAATCATACCCCGCCTAGATCTCCGTGAAACTCAGCAGGCAAACCGACAAACACCCCTTATTAGGTACTCTTGAAGCGAGGTCTAATTAACAACTCAATTAGCCGATTCCACGCGAGTTTATACTCGCGACAGTTGGTTAGTTACGAACTCTCCTCCTTCCCACTCGCTGAAAACTCGCGTACATGCATATATTAGCACGGAGTACATATATATATATAACATAAACTCAACCTGTTTGGTTCAACTTTCTCAAAGTGACAAAGTATATGCTTATTGTGTTTGGCGGAAAAATCCAGGATCGTTTGCACAATCGGAAACTTAATTGCCTGGAAGTTATGGCTCTTTTCGCGCCCGAGAGCCCCAGTGATATAAAATACCAACCCAATTACGTAAATTCGCTCAAACATGAAAAAGTCAAGAGATACGCTGAAAACACCAAGTTGTAAAACAAAGGAAAAAAAAAAACAAAAGTTTTACCACGCGTATACATATGTATGTACTGCGCGATTGCGCAACGCGCGTTTTTATCATCTCGGCCAGCCAAATTAATCCAAACTATTATCATCATCCGGAAAAAAAAAAAAAATAAGGACACACGGGTGTGTTGAGTATAACATATATGATATGCGGTTTATAGAATTTGCATTACGTGACAGGACGAAGCATCCGGCGAAGAAAAAACTGACGATGCACGTTACGTGGTCGCCCATCATAATATCCTTTCCTCTTGATGGTGGTGGATGTGTGTATACTGTTACCGTTCTTGTCACGCCCGAACCCTGATATTTTTGGTATATCTCTGGTCCTAGTCCACTTTGGATTGGCGGCTTTTCATGCTAGCACACCAAAGTCCTTAAACACGCACCGCGGGGCAAGCTCGTTTGAAACTCACATTTGGTAGATTCGCCAAAGAAAATCAAAGAGGGGAAAAAAAAAAAAAAAACGTATCAGTCAAACGGTGGATCATGCAGTTGAGACGGGATAAAAGAAAATGGATACAAGGAGCAGGAGATCGTCCGGCGATCAGCGCGGGCGTCACAATGGGACTGAGGAGTTGGCCGTAGCGGCGCGTCTGTGTAACACAGGGCCCTCAGCGCCAAAGACAACAGATCGAGCGCTGCTCGGTTGTTCCCTCCTACATATACACGTTGTACTCCTCTCGGCATCAGCTGCAGGTCAAACGTGACAAGGTCGCGCGGCGAACACACAAACTCCCCTTCCATACCTCTCGCGGCTCACTATATCTATGCGTTACGCTCCTCTTTCTCTCCGGGAGAAAGATTTACTCTCTCTCTCTCTCTACTTTTGTACGCCCACACGTTGGTGTCTGTACAAGTCGTTTCGATCAAAGGCCCGTCTGTGAGAAAATGCAATACGGGGGTTTTTTTTTTTTTTCAAAGATCTCGCTTTTTTCCCCGGCCGAATTTCCGAAAGATATTAGCATTGGCAACTTTAAAAGGGTAGGAATCAAGTTCGCATCCTTATATACCTTTTGGTTAAACCAACGAACAAACGACCTCTTTGGGTGTGCAGTTGAAAAAACAAAAGACCCGGTGGCTCCGTGGCTGCTCGTACAGATACGCAGGGGGTATATATGAATGTACACCCCGTGAGCCAAAACAACCGTGGAGGGAAAAAAGAGGCGACGGTGAGCTGACTTGCTATCCGTTACAAACGGGAGTCGTATCGCTCGTGAAAATTATTTCGAAAGCCCAAACAGTCAAGCCGTCCGATCTCCGTTAACGACCAAGACGCTGCAGTTTAGCGGGCTTGTTTCGAAACCTCGATAATCCACTCGAGGGCAAGGAAAATCCATCCGACCATCGATCACCCGTGTACCGAGCATTCACCTCCGCGTCCGTGCAAACCTTGGGCGGCTGCAAGACAACAGGCGCTGCGGTCTTTTGGAATCATCCGTGCTGCACGTTATTCGCGCAATGCACACGTTAAACGGAATAGAAATAGAAGAAAGAAATCTCCCATGGGGGGGGGGAGGTAAGGATTGATAGAGGGAGGGGGGTCTCATTATCCGAGAGCGCGTTACGTAAACCGGCGAACAAGTGCGGGCTGGACTTTTTACCTTAAACACGTAACGAAGACTCGAGTGGCCGAGTGGATGGAGACAATGGCTCGATACATAATTGCGGGGACGAGCCGGGAATTATACACGATCGACGTTGTAGCTGCTCCACGCTTTTACGAGGATGTTATACATGGACACTGTAGCGAGTACACTGTATATATAGGTATGGGCTAATCATGGCTTAAACGCCGCACTCGCGATAAATTGCTCCTCAGGCTTTGACGAGGATTTCTCTCCCCACCCCCCCCCCACCCCCTTCCAACTGAATGTAGATGATCGCTTATATAGTTTTTCTCTGACAGGGTTTGCAATTCACTCCGTGGCGAATATATATGCTATATGTATAAGAAGATATTATATGGAGACGCCCAAGTTTCGAGGGAATTTCATGTCCGCTGTCTTCTATAGTAAATGTTGCAAGTTAATTGTTCATCAAGTTGGCGTGTAGTTGGATGAAAAAAAAAAATGCCTTGCTTTGGTTAATTTTTCGTCATTCTTTATTCTCTTGAACCAATTCAAAGAAAAAAAAAACAAAAAAAAAAAAAAACAACAGTATACCAACGGTGATCCTTAGGACACGAACGGACGGACGAGTTTCTGGGCGGCGGCTTCCTTCCTCCTGTGCCAAAAGTACTCGGTGGCGATGGTGGCGAAGGCACAAGTGAACCCTAAAAAAAAAAACAAAAAAAAAAAAAAGCAATTAACGGCTCAAAAGAGAAAGCGCACAGGGAAGATACTCACCGATGGCCAGGACGAAAAATATCCCCTGCATGTCGCTCATGTTGACCTTGTGATTGGTGGCCTCCTGTATCGCGCTCATCCCCTCCGAGCACTTGTTCTTCGCCACCACCTTGTCCTCGGTCCACTTCTTAATCAGGCCCGACTCGTGCATCCTCTTGATCCTGCGACAAAAAAAAAAAAAACGCTCGATCGTCGCGGCCACCCGACCCAAACTGCAAGGCCATGTACCAAAAGGTGGGTCGCTCACGCCGCATCGACGAGCCGCAGGTAGGGACTGTCGGCGGCCACGAGCATGGCCAGGTTCTCGGACATGAGGTCGTCGGCGCTGAGATGGAGGTTGCACGTCCCGGTGTCGTTGAGGTCGATCCCCATGAGAAAAGTGAGCGACACCCGCCAATCGATGAACACGTGGCTCTCTGACTTGACGCGCTCGAGGATCTCCAGCGGCTTGGTCGGGTCCTGCCTCTCAGCGGCCGCCAGCAGCTCCTTGTACTGTAATACACGCAGACAGAATAAAGGCTCCTTTTCTTTTTCGCGACGAAAGGAAAGACGTACGCGTTCGTTGGCGGCGGCCGCGTAGCCGAGGTAAGCCTCGAGGGCGCTGCCGTTGGGGAAGCTCCACCGGTAGTCGGAACCGCGGGCCAGGAGATCGTCGATTGTGTCGATGGTCGCGTCCATCCGGGGAAAAGTGAGGAAAGCTATGAGCGAGCCCGAGTAGGTGGCCACCACGACCATCACCACGATCCACCACGTGCCGACGATCAGCCGAGCGCTGTCCGCCCTGGGCAGGCTCATACCACCTGTTGAACACACACACACTGCAGGTACGAGATCGGGGAGGTGTATTTTCTGGGAGGAGATTGTTGGTAAATACTGACCTTGCTGGAGCAGGGCACCGTAAACGTACCAGGAGCACTGCCACAGGCTCGACAGGGCAGTTTTGTCGCGCGGGTCGAGGGGCCGCGGACTGTAGCGCACCGTGAGATGCAAAATCGGGCCGATCACCAGAATCATCGATGACAGGCAGATCCAGGTCTACTGGGGGGGAAAGGGGGAAAAAAGAAAGCAAAAACATTGTATGTTGTATTTGTAGAGGACACGTGTGTGTGCGTGTATTCGGGAGAGACCGACAGCTCCGGTGAAGGGGGCAGCGAAGAGGAGGGCCCGGCTGAGTAGTTTCGGCTTGGCGGAGAGCAGGGCGTAGGTTTGATCGGCGACGGAGGCCGTGAAGTTGACCTCGTGTACTTTCTCGCCCACGGTGAGGGCGACCGCGGCCAAGAACACCTTGCGCGACCGCACAAGCTCTGCTACCTGGTGCGGCACCTTATGGCCTACGGATATGGCCGCGATTGCGGTATCCTCGGGACAAAAATAAAAGATGTGTACGTACAGTTCCGCCAAAGTTAGAGAGAAATCGAGGTGTTATATAATTTTTAAATGTCGTCAAAGTACTCGATTAAAGGGTGTAGTTGAAACATTTTTGTTTCTCATGAAGGACATCGGAGTGGCGGGGATAATAATTTTAAGGAGGTATGGTGCACCAACTGGTTAACCAGTTCCATCAAACTGGATACTTTTTAATGGAAAAACCCAATGTAGGAAAGCTGTGGAGTTGAAAAACTTGGCTGTCTGTGACAGTAATGTTTTACTCCCTACAGCCAATCCCATATTAAGCGTTGAAGAAGAAAAAAATGGTTTAGTTTAATGGAATTGGTGTGCAATAGTTTACGAAGCACACTGAAAGAAAAAAAAAAATAATGAAAATTACTGTGCAAGAATGGCTATCTGCTATACTGTTAGGTGGTCTATACAGACTTTTTACTATTTCTATAATTTTTTAATGATCGGAACAGCAGTTTTTGTTGTGAGTACCACTGATTTTTACGGTTTGTACAATAGAAATTACTGTCCAGCAATGAAATGGTAAAAAATTAGGTTGGCCACGGCAAAAAGTCCTTATACAACAGCAAAATGGCACCAGATTACACCATTCTGTCACGGTAATTTTTATTTCTTCTATCAGTGGATCCATTTGGTTGTTTTTAAAAAACGTTCATCAAGACTACTGAAATGAATTAAATTCCGATTACACGCTTTGAACGTGTGCTTCAAGACACTGAGGGTACTAAAGAAAAGGCGATAAATAATTCATTCACATTGGTATTATACCTTTGACGAGTGGTCGTCGTCGCTCCGCAGCGCCGTGGATGCCGTGGGGGTGAGAGTCGAGGGCAGACGCACCGTGTACGTGAAATTCAATTTAGCACTCAATTGTCGCAATATGTCAAAGACGAGGCCACCGTACACGGGTCCGCTATTGTTCGAATGCTTGATTATCTGCCACGGCGGATTCTGTGGAGGGAGGATCAAACATCACGTCTTTCGTTGCAACCTCACCCCCGTCCGTTGGAGTTTGGCACGGTTGAGCCAATGTACGTCCCAACGGAGGAGCTCACAATTGATCTTAAAACAGAGGCACGCGGTTGACGTACGTGGAAGGAGACGACGGGCAGGGAAATGCCGCGAAAGCCGTGGCTGATGTGCGGGAAGAGTGGCTCGGTCATACGAATCCCGGGTCCGGGACTCCAGTCGCCCGTTTCCTGTAACCACGGCCCTCCTCTCGCGGCAGATTCCGGGGCATCGAAGGACATGCCCCACACGATGGCTGATACCAGTTTCCAGGTCAAACATCCCCCGCAGCCGGAACCGGGGAGTGAGCGGGCACTAGACAGCTCCCTCTGTAATGATGCAATTTTTTTTCAGTTTTTTCAGTTTTTTCAGTTTTTTTTTGCAGTTTTGGTTTTATTCGTAATAAGCGATCGTTTTCCAAAACGTTTTGATGATTGTTCAAAAGCTAAGCTGTAAATTTCAGATTTTTGAGTTAGAAATATCACTTCAAGCATGACTCTGTGTTTATTCAATCTTTCGTTCTTTGATACCAACGTGATGGTTGAAGTTTTGTTGGAAATCAACTTTATGGACAATAAATTTTCTTGGGTCTTATACGCAAACAAGTTGCACTGTAAGTACAGGTAGGTATGTATAGGGCATTGTATTCCAACTTTAAATCAAAATGTCGTTTCTTTTTTTCTTTCCTCTCAAGTATATGTACAAAGTAGGAGATTCGATAGAACTCGAGACTTGAAAACATAGTTGACACAAACTTTTAACAACATTCAAGCATAAAATTGCGTAAGTTACTAGCTACAATTTACATTTCTTCGTACAATTTTTCTCTACATAAAATACATCAAACAAGTTTATGGCATAAAAAATGTTCCTTAGTACTTTTTAGCAACAACAAAAAATAATAATAATAATAATAAATACGGCAGCAGTAAAAACACAAGAATGAAATAATGTAAAAAAATCTCACGTTCATATTCCTAATGATTTCGACTTTTCGCTCGGCTTTTGTCAGCCTGACGACTTCGAACTCCTCCTCGGTAACGCGATCGTAGAGCTCCTGTTCGCTCATCAGCGAATTTTCCAAACTTTTGGCCAAGGCTCGAATCATCTCTTTCACGTGGCACGCCAAACCCATCTGTGCGGGATAATAATATGTATGGACCGAAGAGCATCGAGTTATCATTTTTTTTTTTTTTTTTTCAACAATCCGTTATTATGTTGCATCTGTGAATTTTCAGGGTAAATTTTAAAAGAAAAAAAAAAACCATACACATAATATACAGACAAAGATGCCCAAATTGAACGTGCGAATTAAAAAGACATTATTCGTGTATAAGTATAATATATCCACGTAAGTTTCCAATTATCTTTCACTAACTATATACTGACAAATAAACGTATACTTAAAAAAAAAGTTCATATCATGTACATCTCGCGTCCTTCGAATGTATAACAATCGAGAACCAATCGCGTTATATTTTTTGTCCGACATAATCACACCATTTTCTATAATAACAGTAAATGTCCCTTGAGTAAACTCAAAGTTTTGGCGCGAAAACTTTTCGAGTCGAGCCACATAAAAAAAAATCCCCCAATGAACTAACGTTACAGTTTGGCTGGACGTCGGTGGCGTTGCGCACGAAAGCCACGTTCTCGCCCTCGCGGAGGAAGTGCACCAGTGACGTGAAGTTGGTCTCCTGGTCCGAGCTCTCGCTTATGACGAACAGCCACTGGCTCTCCGGGTGGAGCATCTTCAACGACCTCGCCTGCGGGAAAAAGCAAACCGGATACGTGCACGGGTCTATGGGAAACCGTCCCCGAAACTCACGACTTCGAGGATCGAGAACACCATGTCGAACGTCACGATGGCCATGAAACAGGTGCCGAGCTGCTCGACGCGAAAGTCCGCGAGGATCTTGTGGAGGCGTTGGCGCATCGCCACCTCGTTCCTCTCGAACTTGGTCGAGAACAGGGCTCGGGCCGACAACGTGAGTCGCTCGTCCGGAAGCTCGACCGACAGGGCTTTCACCACCCGGCTGATGGTGTCTCTAGCTGTGGATTGTCACGTTATTTTCGACACATACTCAACACTTTAGCCCAACGTTTGAGTGTGGGGTTTTTTTTTTCGTTTTTTTTTTTTCCTCTACAAACAATGCGGGGTGAACAATTGTACCGTAAAATTAAATGCATGTATACCTCGAGCAATGATTTCAGAAGGGTGTGTATTTCACTCGATGTTTGATCAATAATACGGTGAAATCNATCGAAAATTATTGTTATCGAACGTAGAGTCCAATCATTAAGATTTCGATGCACTTATCATTTCCCGCGTAAAAATTTTTACGTTTGGCCTAACTTTCGCCAAAGTTTATGTGAACCAAACGTTTGAATTTGCGTTGGAATATTCGACTCAAATTTAGCAAATGTTCATCCAAACGTCTAAAAAATTAATTTGTTGTGTCAGTATATTAGTTGGTCTGCATATACGACTTACGAAAAATATTGAGTCAAATATTTCTACGAAAATTCAAGTTTGGGATTTTCTCGTTGCCCAAGCTTGGCCAAACGTTGGCCACATGAACTTTGGCGAAAGCTAGGCAAAACGTAAAGATTTTTACGCGGGCCACCCCAACAAATGTATGAGGTGTTTGCATATATATGTATGAGTGCTGTGAGAAAATAAAAATATTTTTTTAGCCGGTGATAAGCGCTAAAGAGTAGGACGTTATTTGCAATGCTTCGTTGGAATCTTACCGAGGGTGTCGTCGTGGATAAAGTTGATTTTGGGCCACGATAGTGTGCTGCTCACTCGGAGATCGAAGAAAATCTGGGGCAGCTCCTCGCCCGGGACGATTAGCGGCAAGCCCACGCCAAAGTTCTCGGGTATTCTCGGGCAATCGGGATCTTTTTTTGACAGAGGAAGAATGGAGCTCGGAATATTTATAAAAATTGAAAAAAGCTCGTTGCGTTACCCGTTATCGCGAGATGCACAAGTTTCTCTTTCTCGGCTTGTTTGTGCAGGTGCCAAGTTGATTCGCAAGTCGCCACGGTGAACAAGACCGTGTAGTCCACTGAATAAAAGCATAAATTAATTGTTTCAATCACAAATTTCAATTTTTTTTCGATCTATAATGTTCTTCCATAGTCACACAGTGCAATGTTTGATAAAATCTTGTCAAGTACAAATAATGGATCATAATTGTTGATCGAAAAAAAAAAAACCAGTAAGTACATACTTCTTTTTACCATTTGCACTTCAAAATTTACCTCGTCGCAAATTGACGTTCGAATCGCCATACACTGCAAAGTCGATTCCACCGGTTTTCATGGTTTTTCCAACCACGTGGGCGATGATATCCGAGATCTCCGATAGCATTTTGTGATAATACTCGACGTGTTCGAAAAAATCTTTCTCGATGACCACGGCTTTTTTTAAAATAAATCAAAAAGTTACTGATAATACAACTATATGAATTTAAATGACTTCAGTCGAAAAGATGATTCAAAATGTAAGTGTTAACGAAAAGCAAGACATTTCATGTGCGTTGTTTGCTGATATTGATAAGCATGGACGTCACTGCAAACATCGTACGATGAAGTGCTTCATTAGTATTTTTGAAATTTGATTGTTTTATCATTCAAATCTAACAAAACACAACGATTGACTGTATACATGGACGTCATTCGAATTTTTGACTCATTACTTTTTTCCATGTCAGTTGGATGATGAAAGTATATATACATAAATGTCCCGTGAAGAGTAATTAAACATCGGTTTAGTGTGAGCATAACTCACCCATTGACGCGTTAGCCGTAACGAGTGACGGAAAATCATTGTAGCCCGCCGTGTCTCTGATAATCAACAGCACAACAAATGGAAAAACGAATAACATCTCTCTTTACTACGGCTTTCGCCGAATTACCATATTTTAACTGAAACAAACGCAAAAGACCAATAAACTCGAAAACAACACCCGCGACGGTTGCGTCCCGAGAACGATATATTCGCGCGATTCTTCATCGTTGCGTCCAGCGTTTCGAGTCAACGAACAGTATACCACCTGATGGTTGCGTTCGTCATATGAAATCCATAACCGATTCACTATGCGCTAGTACTGAATTATGAAATTTTTCATTACTCCAAGCTAATACGGTACACACGACCATACTTGGCTGTGGAGAGTCTTGAAATGAGCAAAAAAAAAAAAACGTATATCTTCAGGGTCAGGGGAGGGGAAAAAAACACTGAGAATCCGGGTTACGGAGGGTATGCGCACGCGGAACGGACTTTCGTATTATTAATTGATAAGAGAATCGAACGGGCCACGAGAGTTCGTTTACGCGTACGTGAATAATGCAGTCCTGGTTTTGGGTCACCCAGTTTGGCTTTTTCGACATCACGAGCATAAAGTATACATGATCATACACTTATATGTGGCTATGAGCTAAGAAGATTAAAGGAAAAAGATCGATTTTCTCAACGTTCCATCCTTCGAATATCATTAAAAATTCAAAAACTAATAACGAACTCGCTATATATGTTACATTTGAGAAAGCAAATGGGGAAAAAAAACTTATGAATCAACTTGTGGAATTGCTCGTGAATTTTTTAACAGCGTTTCGCGTTGATTTTCTTTTCGTGATGAGCTTTCCCAAGTATACATGTACGTACACCTGTAACGACTACCGCTCTGATTTTTTTTTCTCCGTCTACGGAGTGTCTCTCGCGATCGATGATTTTAATTAAAAACTTTTGCTCTTTCATGTATCTCGTTTAGTTTTTTTTGATTCTGCGAAACGAAGGACTGCAAAAGAGGATCGTGTGGGTGTTTTTTAAATTATAGTCCATCGGTTGTAAACTATACCGAAATAAAGGACACAACATTTTAACGATACTTTTACGAATGTACCCTGTTAAAAAATAACTTTTATTTTTGCAACTCTATGTTGTTGCTGGTTTTTTTTTCTCCCCAGCGCTTATAGAGATATCCATCCCGATAGATTCAAAACAACTAAATCTTAATTTCAATTTGCCGAATGATAATTTTTAAATTTTTACGGTCCGAGTCAGAAGTCACCTCTGATGAACGCTCGACGCTCTGACGCTCGACGCTCTGACGCTCTACGCTCTCAACGTCACGCATGCGCTCAACTTGATTCCCTCACACACCCATACACACACGCACACTCCCCCCACACGCAAGTTTTCAGGTTTTCAGAGAGTGTTTTTCACCTGTAATATACATATATATATATGAGCTTGTTTTTCTGTTCTGCACAGCACATAACACGCGTGAAGTCGCGCCTGCACTACGAAGCATGCAAGTTAACAAGTGTACGAAAAAATTAATCACCGCACACGAGAAGTAACAGTTATACTTTAATATGGCATAGTGTCGGAGTAAAGCCGTGAACCTTGGAGAAAAAAGAGCAACCCTCGCCACAAAGACAGCAAATTTTCAACCGATGTGCGTGTCGACGAGGAGAGTTTCACCAGGACGCCGAAGAAACAGGAAGCGCAACAGCTGGAGCTGCTGCACAACGATCACTTGCCGTTGTCCTCATAGTCGTCAGTCTCCTGTTGTCATAGTTAGCCTCAAAATTGTCAAATCAGCAGCAACGGCAATGGATACAGAAGCCTTTTTATTGTCCTTATTGTCGTCATCACTAGCATTTTGGGCAAAGGGCTGAAGAGAGAGGCGACTATAAACATGGTAACAGAGCAGGAAATATTTTTTTCGCATCTGTCGAAGTACGATTTACTACCATTGTTACCTATACGTTGTAACAATTCTTTATTCTTTTTATCAAATGTCAAAGGAGTACCGTAGCTCAGGCAGAACAATTATAAGTGCCCTCGAGATACATAGAGAGTGAAAGAGAGTGCATGCAGTAACAGCAGCAGAGAAAGGAATAAAGTTATTGGCTGTTCTTGTTGATTATCATTGTTACTGTTGCCGCGCCCCTCGTCCGGAGTCCGGATTGTTTTTATGTTGTGTTGTTGTTACTGTTGTTGAAAAAAGTGGATAAAAAGGAGTCATGGGGTTGGAGGAGCCGCTTCTTAAGGGCTATCTGCTACTGCCGCCCCAGGGCATGTTGCAACAACTTAAGGTCAGTGAACAACAGTCGCAATGCATCTCTGCCTATCTATTACTTTCAACTGTTTTTAACGTTTTCTATGACACCATGCACTATACCTATAAGATGTGTTTAAAAAATCATCTCGACAGTATGGGAGTGTACTGTCGGGTGTATATACATGTATATTGGTGCAACAAGTGTTTTTGCAGCAGCTAATACCACGGCCGGTTTTTTGTTCGTTTGTTTCTACCTTTGACATCTTTCAATGCCTATTTAGTATAATATCGTGAAAATTTATTGATTTCCATGACCGGTAATCGAATCACTTTCGACCATCATGAACGCGAGTGAAAAATCAGCAAAAATATCAACCGACATCACTGCACTATCGTTCGGGGAACCTCCGACATCCGGTGATTCGTCTCTCGGCCGACAAAAAGGAGACAGGAAATTCCTGCTCGTTCTTTTTTTTTCTTATTCTCGGACAATATTGTTCTCGTTGTCACTCGATATTTGTCGAATAACTTTGACTTACGGCCGTTTGAACTCTTGCACTTTCACTTTCTTTTTTCCCTATGTCTGATGAATCATTTATTCGGAATGAGAAAACGAATTTTCTTTTCAGTCAATGGAAATAATTTTTCTTATCTTATGTATCTTAGACCACGAGTTAATAAAGAAAATGTTAATGAAAAATACACGTTGTTCTGCCAATAGAAATCGTGGTACAAAAAGTACTGCCAGATATTCAAACCCAGCAAGTATGGAATCCAGAGACTGGAAATTTACGACAGTCAGGAGGAAGCTCTAACCCAACAGCACACCCAGCGCATCATCACCCTGGAGGCTTGTATAAAAATCTCGCTGAGCAGTCAGCCCCTCACATTTACTGTAAGTAAAAAAGCACTAGCGATTTTACAAAACAAAGAACCAAAAAATAACATGTTGTATTCATCATACACGCATTTCTTACCCACTCCACAGCTGGTGACCAAGTCAGGAGTCCACCACTTCGGTTGCTGTTCCGAAGTCGAGGTGGCCAACTGGATGAGTGCCTTCCAGTCGGTAGCTTTCAAAGACGACGCGTCGAGCATCACTGTCGAGGAAGACAACGACCTTTATTGCACGAGCGGCGAGGGTGTCTTCACCGTTAAAATATCCGAGACCGAGGCGTCGCGCAAGTGTGGCCTCGAACCTTTAAAAAACTACACTCTAATAGTCGGTGCCACCGAGATGAAGCTCATGGATACAAGCTTGCACGTACTCTACACGTGGCCCTACCAGTATATACGCAAGTACGGCTACAGCGAGAAAAAGTTCACCTTCGAGGCGGGCAGGCGTTGCGGCTCGGGTGAGGGCTCCTTCTGCCTGGAGCACAAGAACCAGCTCGATATCTATCGTTGCTTTGTATCCAACAAAACGAAAATGAAGCAGATGCTCAGCGGTGGCGAAAACAGTCCCACGGTCGACTGCAGTGATGCCCAGTTCCATGCCGCCCTTTCGATGGAAGCTGGCTCGCGCTCGCCCCTGCCACCCTCGGTCAACACCTCCAAGAACCTGATCGACCTCGACATATCTGGTTTCACGCAGAACAACAGCAACAATAACAGCCAGCAGAAGCAGCTTTTACTGCCCAGCCCGATCTCACCGACAGACCCCGTCAAGCCGCCACTGCCCTCCAAACCGAAGCCCGTCAAACCTCCCAGAAAGCCGGTGTTCGCCGTTAAGCCGCCGATCAGCAACTTCGACTCGGAGTACCAACCACTGGTGCTCGATCTGTCGGCCAGTAACAAGTACAGCAGCAAACAGCAACAGATCCTTGCCTCACCGACTTCCCCCGAGGTATTACCAAAGGGTAAGAGCGTTATCGTCACGGATGACGAGAAGCACCCCTACGACCTTGTCGAGGTCAGGAGCGACGCCTGGAGGACTCATGGCCTGGAGAACGTACCACACACAGAGAGGCTAAAACAGAGCGGTAAACCAGCGGCGGTAGCGCCCATGGATAAGGACACTCATCAAGAGATCAATGAACCGCGCTACCAGACGTTGAACTTTTCCTCGCAGAATTCTTCGATCAAGAGCAACTCGCCCTCCATTATACACAACATTCCGAGCCCCAACGACCCACCGGACTACGATAGACTTCAGCACTTTGGTACGGTTCACAAGAACAAGAATAATCCTGGTTATCGGACGCCGTCCATCGGTTCCTCCTCCTCGTCGACGGCTCAGCTCATCACGTCCAAGGACTCGAGTCCTGTTTCCGTCAATAATTACGACCTCGTTGAGGACTTGAACGCCATCAGGCTGGCCAACGACGCTCATCACGGTTACGGCAGCATAAGGAAGAAGTCAAGCTCGTCGTCCGCGGGTTTTGGCGTCGTATCGTCGACCAATCAGATGATGCATGAGCCCAAGTATAACGTGGTCAATGACAGCGAGTACGCCATCGTTTCGAAACCCAAGCGAGTTTAAACGACGATAAATTGTTTTCTTCCTTTTTCATTTACCATTCAACGCCTTCGTACTTTTATGTGGTACATGATAGATACTGTGCATTCTACGGATTTTTTTTAGATATTTATGTCTTGAAGACGCATTTAAATATTGACAAATCAATTAAAGCGAGAATTGAAGGTTACTTTTCGCTGTGACTATTTTCACAAAAAAAAAAAAAACCAACTTGGAACCGTCTTTTTTTAATAGTATTCAAATCTTTTTGTGATTCTCATTCATTTTATTTATGTAGGATATTGATCTTGTTCCTCGATCTGACCAATAAGTCTTGTACATATGTTTTTTATGGACTGATTGAAACTTCGATCCTTATGGAGTCATACTTTGTTATCTCGTAATTTTTATAACGTTAACTTTGTGCGAAAAAAAATACCAAATTCTTCTTCTCTATTATTTTTAACGTCTTATTAATTTTCCAGAAACTTGTGTACTTACCATTACTTTGTCCAATAATTGTTATTGTTACGATTGAATTAGCATTTTTGATAAAACGACACAATATACGAATATATTTTTGAAATATATATATATACACGTACATACATATGTATATGTATAAGTACTGCAACAATTTTATATTTTAAATGGAATGTTAGATTTTAAGCTACCTTAAGTGTCGAAAATCGTGATATGCCTCTTAAGAGCGACCAAAGAATGATGTTCGAGACTATGAGCATATGTTTGCAATCACAATTTGCCATGAAAAATTGAGTAATCAAAAGAATTTCTGAGTCAATAGTGCTAATAGTCTCGTGTGTGCCTTGCGCTATTATATAAGAATGGACCAATTTTCTAATTTAAAATAATTATATTAGTTTTAACTTTTTTATAAATTTTTTATTTTCCATCCAATTGAACAAATTTTTATTATATTTTGTGAAAATTTTAGACTTTGAACGTGTTAACTCATCAGTGGATCAATTATAGCTTTTTGATAGACATGAGTTGATAGTGTACAAAAAATCAATTGAAATATAGTTTGCATAAAATATAATAAATTTTTATTTGGTATATTATACGTGTGAAAAAAAAAAGTTTTGTATCAGTAATACTTTTTGAAATAAACTGTCAAAAATCATGTGCCAAATGTTCTAATTAAATAAAATATATCTTATTATTACCAAAGTGTCGAGTTTCAACAATTGCAACCTAATTCGAACTTATTTACAAGAGATACTTGCCTGCATCAATATGCAGCTATAAACAATCCAAAAAAACCTATCTATCTACAAAACAATTTAACCTTATTAATACACAATTTTCACAAAAACCTTATTGTACAGTTGTTTAAATATTTACAAAAGTGTAAAAAACCATGTACAGTTGAACACAGCAACAAATAACAAGAAACCTTTATACACAACCATATACAGGAGTCCTTGGATCAAGTTTTTTTTGGTACTTTAATCTTCTCAATTGTTCTTTCCACCCTCTTCAATTTTAGGACTTTCCTCACTTTTGATAGCACTATCATCAATTAACTCCTGTTCCTTGATTCGTCTTTGAACCTTTATCACCTCCTCCTCAGCTATGGCTTCAAAGTATCCCCCAATGTCATCTCTGATCCTGCATACACTTTCACCCTTCTGCCTGAGTATAGTTTCAATATTTCTCGTTTTATGTCCAGGGCCAAACCAGCCAAGGTTGTCAGCTATCAAATGATTGTTCTTACAACCGTCACAGCGTACAATCACCACACCCTTGTTGTATGCCAGTTTTGTTATGATTTTGTTTTCATTTCTTGTGTTACATCGCTTGCAAGTGAAACCTAGCATCAGCTTACCCTCGACTTTTCCTAGTTGATGTCTGTTCAATACCAAATTTTTACCACTTTTCTTATGGCCTTCGTCCTCAAGCTTCGGCGGCTCGCTCTTCAAAGCTGGCTCGTACTTGATCCTCGACATTATGCTCCTCGACAAGGAAAAGCTGTTTTGATGCGTCAACATGACTGTTCTTCTCAGATTTTGCATATTCGTGACATTGTCCTGCATGCGCCTCAACGTCATCCTCAAGCCAAAGCTTAATACTCGTCTCGACAAGCACCACATTTTTAGTCCCGTTCAACACCGAAACGCAGATTAACTATAACTTTTCCAACAATAAATATGATTGACTTTGGGCTGAGGTACTTTTATTGAAGATGTTTGTTTCAACACATAACCTAATAATGAGTAATGGATGACTTATGAAAGATGCGTGTTCAGTTCATTTAACTACCACGTGATTGACGTGATGTAAGAAATGCAAACGATGGTGCAATCTACTCCTACCCTAAGTACAAAAATAAACAGTTGTTGACGTATTTTTTTTCTTATTGAACGAACTCAACTCTATACATTCAAATAGTCTTATCATGTTTATTAACTTATTATCAGTGATGTGCTACAATTTGATGGAGAAACAAAAAAACTTTTTGTTTTTTTATAAAAACTGGAGAAAAGCGCCGCTGTACATGTGTGCATGTACTGTAATTAATTACATATTGAGAGATTTGAGAGTAGGCCAAAATATGTTTATGCAAGTATAGACTTATATTATTGCGATGGTTGAAAAAAAAATAACAATAATATAATTTCCATGATAGAAGCTACATTAAAAACATTTTAAACGTATGTATATACGTACTGGAGGCGTATAAAAATTTAATTTGAAATAGAGAGTAATTGATACTTGAAATTGTGCATACATGTACGTAAAATTTTTTAAAAATGGTTTAAAAAAGTGATATGTAACTTCACTTCGATGACTTTTGGTCATCCTCAAAACACGCGTAAAGTTTATTAAAATTTCCCGCGTATTTTTTATCAACGAAACTGTGACGAAAATACTCCATAACAGACTTGGTTTGTCCTGTTGTTTGTTTGGACTTTTGTAAATTGCAAATAGTAATATAATATTACATTACATACTCATTTGATATCAAACTCAAACAGAATATGGTCAAACACTGCAGATTGCATCTGCGGCGTTACCACCACGACCTACGTAACTTTACAGCCTCTGATTTTATCATTCTGGTAAAGAGAGCACGGCGGTGTAAGATGTACATGAAGATAGTAATTAAAACAATTACTAGTAAGTAATGCCATATGGTCGATTTTATTAAACCATATGAATATCTATATTTTTTGAGGTAGACTTTTGGGTAAAAAATAGATTTTAAACTTGCCGCAAACAGCACAGACCACGTCAACTTCTTATTATCTATCTTTAAGATTAGTTGCGACTGGTTTATAATTGATTAAATGGCTCTAACATAGGAAGTAATAATTATTTGGATCAGCGCCATCTAGCGGTCTTTATTTTTTGGCCAAAAGTAGCTCCTAAAATTCTAAATCAGAGCATTCAGGATTAGAGCCATTTAATCAATTATAAACCAGCCGCAACTTAAGACGAAGCTATAAAATAAAAAAAAAAACGATACGTTTGTTTTTGGCGGCAAGTTAACAATCTATTTTTTGCTCGAAAATTTATCTTCAAAAGTATAAATACATAGGAGGTCGATTTTTTGGTAAAAATAGATTGTTAACTTGCCGCCAAAAACAAACGTATCGTTATTTTTTTATTTTATAGCTTCGTCTTAAGTTGCGGCTGGTTTATAATTGATTAAATGGCTCTAATCCTGAATGCTCTGATTTAGAATTTTAGGAGCTACTTTTGGCCAAAAAATAAAGACCAATAGATGGCGCTGATCCAAATAATTATTACTTCCTATATTAGAGCAATTTAATCAATTATAAGCCAGCCGCAACTAATTTTAAAGATAGATAATAAAAAGTTGACGTGGTCTGTGCTATTTGCGGCAAGTTTAAAATCTATTTTTTACCCATAAGTCTACCTCAAAAAATATAGAAATTCATATGGTTTAATAAAATCGACCATATGGCATTACTTACTAGTAATTGTTTTAATTACTACTCATAACTTCATGTACATCTTACACCGTGCTCTCTTTACCAGAATGATAAAATCAGAGGCTGTAAAGTTACGTAGGTCGTGGTGGTAACGCCACTTGGGGTGTTTTCCGCAATCGTCACCAGCAAGTAATTTAAATTTGCGCTCTACGTTACTGTCAGTCAGCAAGTCAACTATAATTTGACCTTAAATTAAACTGGCGCTATATATATACGTATTCCGTAATCTGGCCAGTTAAAACAGCAGACAACGTGACAGTCGAGAAAAAAGTGAAGATTTCATCGCTGTTGACTGTCGTCTGCTATTTTAACTGGCCAGATTACGGAATACGTATATATATAGCGCCAGTTTAATTTAAGGTCAAATTATAGTTGACTTGCTGACTGACAGTAACGTAGAGCGCAAATTTAAATTACTTGCTGGTGACGATTGCGGAAAACACCCCGTGAGCAAAATTTTTTGAAGAGCAGGCTGCTCTGAGCAGCGTTAAGATAATTTGAAAATGAAAAATTGAATGAAAATTTGAAAATTAAGAAAACACTACTAAGTAGCGCTGTCTGGCAAAGAATTTCTTGAAAAATTGAAAATTAAAATTGACCCATTTCAAATGGTGACAAAAGGCGAGAATAATATATATAGGTATACTGAATCCGAGACCGTGCATGGGCGTGCATGCCGTGCTTATCCGCCTTCCGCCACACGTCGTGCACCGTGCACATGATTTTTTTCTCATTATCAACAGGTTATGTCACGCTGTGCTTATAATACGATTCAAGTGTTTTTACCAAGTTCCATATTCTATTGTAATAATTTATTCTTTGTCATTTAGTTTGTTCAGCAAATTATGCTTATCATTTTCACCGGTTTGTTTGTAAAATTATTCACAAGAACGTGAAATTTTGTTTGAAGTATTTTTCAATTAATTTACCGTTGGGTAACTTTAATGCCGGTTTGTTATTGCCGCTTATTAAACACGAATATTGTTTAACTTAAATGAAATTGTCATTGGTAAAAATCCAGTGAAAATCTACTTCGAGTCATGAATATCGACAATGGGAAGTCCACTGTACTTGAAAAAACGAAACATACCAGCAATGATATGAAAGAAAATGATGAAATTTTAATTGAAAAAAATGAAGAATGTGGGTCTAGCAAAGATGTAAACAGTACATCAGAGTCGTTTGGAGTCATCAGTGATATTAAAATTAAAGTGGAAAGTTCTGCATCTGTAGACAATTCAAACACACAAAACAATTGTGGTGATGAAAAAAATTCTGCAGTTAATGAAGCTAGTGTCGAAAGTAGAAGTACAAATCATAATGTTAATGTAAAAAAAATAGATGATTTATTCTTCATAGGTATGTACTTATTGTACAAAACACAGTTCACACAATAACCATTAATATAATATATACTTTCAGATAAACGCACACCTTTAGAAGTAATAGCCATGCAATATGATAGTTCGGATGAAGAAACTAATGACAATGAAGATACAGTTTCCAAAAAAACTAGTGTTTCAAACGTCCAAGACTACAGAAATCGAGATGTAGTGGTGCTCTCGAGTGATTCTTCGAGTGACAGTGAAAGTGACTCAAGCAGCAGTAGTTCTGAAACTAATTCAAAAAGTTCCAACTCTGATGACAGTAAAAATTCTAATGATGAATCCAATGATGAGATACAATCCAAGTAAGACATGCAGTTTATTTTCGTAACTCTAGACAATATCTAAAAGCAATTGTAACTTTTAATAATGTTGGAATTCTTACAGAAATAAAAATAGTAGGACTAGAAAGAACACACAACCAAAAAAAGAATACGATTTGCCGCCTATTGAGGACTTGCAAATTAGTGTTCCTGAAGTTTTGTGTGAACCTTTAGGCAAAGTAATATCAACTACTATACAAATCGTTGAAAAATCAATTTACGTTTTAATTTGTTAAAAATATCCATTATTTTTTTAGGTTGCTTGGTTTGTCAAAGAAATGGTTGTTGTGAAGCCAGAACCTGATAAATTAACTCTTAATTTAGATACTGTATTGTTCATTGAAAGGGGCAAAAGGGCTCTTGGCCACATATTCGATGTATTTGGTCAAGTATCCCAGCCACATTACTGCGTGAGGTTCAACAGTTCAGAACACATTCATGAACGTGATATTAAGGAGGGCATGACTGTTTACTTCTGTCCAAATTCACCTTATACATCCGTAGTATTTTTAAGTGAACTTCGAAAGTAAGCACAAGTTATAATAACATTCAAGCTTGGAATGATTATTGTACCAAAATTCTAAATTTTAGGTCAAAACCTGTGGATGATTTGGAAGAGGATGACCCTCCACAATTTTCTGATGATGAGGAAGAACGAGCTTACTTGGCCAGTTTGAAAAATAAGTCCAATAAATCCACAGCTAATCAACACAAGCAAGCTGGAGAAGGTGAAATTCCAAACAAACGCCGTCGTGGTAACGAAAAATACTTTTTTATTTGCACATTTTACAATTGACAATTTTGTACAAACAATTTAAAAGTAAAAAAAAAAAAAATTAATACCCCTCGATCACAGGTAACAAACAACAAGGTTGGCAGTCTAATCATCCCTGGAATAGTTATCGAGAGAATCAACAGTTGCAACAGCAACTAGCCACGAGGCCGTTCTATCGCTCGCATAATCTGTGGTCCCGTCCGCGCTATCCGCAAGTCAACAATTGGGCCTGGTACCAGCCTTTACATCCGTCTCAACAACAGCCCCCTCAATTCATACAACAAGCCAACTGGGCATCTGCTTACGGCCCTCAGTCCTACGAAGAGGCCCAACAACACGAGTTTGGGTACAGCAATCCACAGCAGGCAGCTACTTATTATCCACAGATCGATACAAATAGCTATGGACAGATGCAGCAACAGCAACCGCAAGCTAATATAAGCCCGCCGGTACAAGATTTGTCGAGACTGGTCTCGCAATATCAGCTATTGACTCCGCCACCCCCACCCCCACCTCCATCAGATCAAAACAAATAGCTGTTTATTATTATTTATTGTTGTTACATGCTCAATTGTTGAATAATTAAAATAAATTTCTCTATAAATTTATAAAATAACGTATATTATAATTTCTACTATTCATTGAACTACTTAAGGTATTTAAAAATAACTTGTGCGTTAGCACGTGATGTACATTTTTCATTTCGACACTTGTTTTGCAAGTGTATCAATTTAACTATGGAAAAATGGATCACTCTTATATTCCACCATACTTGGGTGGTCAAGAGATTTTTTCGCTATCTCAATATCACTTTGGATTTCCTTTATAAGATCATCTGAAATTTTCATCAATGTTAGTTGATTTATTTTTTGTAAAAGTTATTAATTAAACAAGTAACTGATTATTTGAAATTTACCAACGGATTTAAAATCCATCTCTGGTCTGATGAAGCCCAAAATTATAATTTTCAACTCCTTGCCATAAAAATCATTGTCAAACTTGTGAATTAAATGTATTTCCTATGAAGTCAATGCAACAAATACAAATTTAGTTCACATTTCTATACATTAAAATTATTGCCAAATCATTATCTCACCATGGATTTCTTATCATTTTTGTAAAACGGATTCCATCCTATGCTCATGACCATTTTGTAAATTTGCTTTTCCAACCAAGCCCAGCCATAATAAACCCCAGTTTCAAATTCTGCTGGCAGAGCTTCAACAACTTCTTCTGAAAAATTAGCTAAGAACCATACAATTTCAGCATTAATTACACAAAAGGCTATTTGCTATTACAATCATGTTAATCATAAGCATAAGCTATTAAAACTAAGTAACAAGTAATATACACAAGACAAACACCTGTTGGACAGCCTAGGGACTTGGAGCCCCTGCCAAAACCAGAGACAACCTCACCAGCTGCATAGTACGGAAGATATTTTTTGTGCAGCATTGAAACTGTTTTATTCTTCTTGCTTATGAGATTTTTTTCGGCATCTGTAATCAACTTACCTAAAAAAAGGCTTTAAAATCACAAAACTGGCGTGTATCAATCTCTAATGGGGGAGATATCTTTTGAATTTTTTCATTCAAACTGAATGTATATGATATTTCTGATAAGCCACGCTGACGTTACATACACACCTTTTATCTCTCGTGTGCTTGTTTATCAGTAAAAAGTTCTACAAACGCGAATTTCAAACGTAGGAATATGAGTTATTGAAAATATAAACCCCTCAAGTATATACTTGATCAATTACCATATGTTCTGCAACCAGCATTGAAGTTGTTTGCGTCAGCTCCGAAATCGCATATCCGTATCTGCAAACAATCATAAACAAATTATAAAAATTAAACACTGAGAATACAAGTATGAAGTCTCAGTTTACAAATGCTAGTACCTACATATTATACATACGGACGATTTTGTGGTAGAAAATCAAAAGGCTTACCAATGTTACTTGTTCCTCTCTATTTATTACTAAGCGAGGAACTTAGTCTTTAGCGCATTTATACACGTATATATATGTTTCTTCCCCCCCCCTCCTCTAAAGTAAATAATTATTTTAATAAAGAAGTTATTGAATTGGATAAGAAAACTCACGGGCCATAGTAACAATCTCCAGCAAAATTTACGCATTTCACTCTATTTTTCTCGAAATTTTTTTGCGTTTAACACAACGTTATTATTAACATTTTGTGTAATTAGTGCAATTTAAATACACAAGTAATGAATCATTGTTGCAGTCAAGAATTTCTAAATATATTGTGAATCGAGTATATTCGCGTTGATAACAGCGATAACACGATAACAGTAATAATACTCATGAATGGGTGTGTCTACGCGTGTGTGTGGTACTAATACTATACTGATTTTCTCTTCCCCCCGTAAAATTGCATCGTCTGCTTTTCGGTTTTTATTGCAAAAATTATTCAATTAATTTTTTTCTCTGGAGTACTTCCGTATAATAAAAGTCGAGTGTGCTATTGCACATTACGGTAAAACGCATCCATACACAATCCCCGAGTCCTGAAACTCCTGAATGTTCCGAAATGTCCTGATGTGGATTATGTGATCGAGAGAGTTATAAATTCAAGTTCTTGGAATATAAAATAGGATGTGAAAAACTCCCATCCAAACACATCAACTGTGTTATCAAATGTTTATCAAAATTTAATTAGGCGTCGTTTTGGTGAAAAGTGTAAATGATCAAAAGAGAGACCAGAAAGTGTTATTAAATTTGATGAAAAGATAATTGGTGATTTATCAACATAAATGGCACCACCGCCGGTCGTTACGGGTATATCCCCGAAGGAAGGACCGCCTGGTACGCGAATAACCATCCGCGGCGAGTTCCTTGGCACTCAAGTTCAGGACCTCGTAGGTTAGTTCATTTGACGTTTCTTCGATCAGCTGTCATACATGTATTTTTTTTTGTCCTCAAGTGTTTGGATTCTGTTTATATTTATCTATACTTTATCTGCTGCTCTGTCCATCCACTCGTCTCCTTTTAAACTATCTCAATCCAAAATCCTTGTAAGTCTAATTCAAGAGGCCTCTGACTGACAAAGTTACATTCATCAATGAAATTGTTGATCCCTAGGTCTAACGATATGCGGCTGCGACTGTTTGTTATCTGCCGAATGGAAATCACCCAACAAAATAATTGCACGATCTGGTCCGTGTAAAGGCAGAGGTGATATAATAGTGACAACACGTAGTGGCGGCCAAGGGACTTCTACTGTGCAGTTCAGGGGCTACCATGAGACCATTGGTCCCATGAAGGAGTCTGCTGTATGGGTTGAGGAAGCACCTAGTTTTGTCTGGGGAAGGAGAGCCCTGTCTCCCACAAATTACCAACAGGAGGATCCTCTTGGTCTCAGTGTGGAAGGAAATGAGTAAGTATACAAAATAAGAGATTACTTGTGCATCGTTGAAGAAGAAATTGAAGACAATTAAAAAAAAACTAATTCTTTATCTAAAATTAAAGAAAAAAGTTCCCCGAAGACGAGCTCATGGAATTGTTTGGCTCGGACGTTAGTGGTGAGTTGACCAGTGATAAATTCCATCCAGGTATGTTTCTCTTGCAAAATCATCATGCAACTTCACTGGAAGACCTCAAAGCAGGTTTGGCCTATTTGAGACGCAAGGTCAATTCGCAAAAAGAGGGTCAGCTTTCATTTTTAAAGGTACTGCAGCATAAATTTCCTATATTTTTTAAGTCATCACACAGTAAGCACAATATATTTCATTGCAGGCAAATGTTGGATCTGTGATGGAGCAGCTTGATACAATCGTACTCTTAAAGGACCAATTTGAGACGGACGTAAAGAATTGTCCCGAAAATCCCATGGACAAACTAGAGTCAGCTATCAAAGAATCCATGACAGAGGCAAATAAACTCTTTGACGATGTTCTTGCGCGGAGAGACAGAGCCGATGCCACAAGAAACGCTCTCGCAGTCATGCAGAGATATAAGTTTTTGTTCTGTATGCCTGTTAATATCGAGAAGAACATTAAAAATGGAAATTACGACCTTGTAATTAATGACTACGCACGTGTCAAAAACTTGTTCAAAAACACCGAGGTGGATGTGTTTAAAAAAGTGCTGCGAGAAATCGAGTACAGAATAGAAACTCTAAGAGAAGTTTTGAGGAAAAAATTGGAGGAAGTGCCTTTCACCTTAGATGAACAGAAAAAAATCATCAGGCATCTCATTAATCTTGAAGCTGATGGAGATCCGGCTTGGGATGCGATAGGTAAGATTTTTTTTTAAATTTTGTTTGTTTGGTGGTGAATTTTATGCTCTTGAAAATAAAACTGATTTGCAGTTTCTCATGCGAATTATTTGGAAAAGAGTATAAAATCCTGTACAAACGAGTATTTGGATTCTGACAGTCGAGACGATGATTACCGAGGAGGCTTGACTATTAAATCAAACGCTTCGACTCCAATGTCCATCAAACAATTCAAATTAACAAAGAGCGATGAAAATAATGTACCTAGCAGAGTCCAGTGTATCGAAGCGCTCTGTGACATTATGTTAGAACAACTGCCAGATTTATGGAGATTAGGTCAAAGCTATTTTACGGGGCAGCTGCATGTTACCATCGACAATGAAAAGCAAGGGCCGTTTAAGGTTATCATGAATATTCAATAAATAATTTTGTGAATAATTATTTATCAAAGATTCATTCAAACGAGAAATTTTGGTTTTTAGAATTTCGTTCTGTCAAATATTCAGCACGCCGTTGATGCTATGTCGAACGTATGTGAGTCAAACTTGGAAGCTCCTTGGCTCCTCCACAGTCTCAGATGCATTAGACACATGTACGTGTCGCTCATCCATTTGGACTTGCCTAGCGATGCCTTGGATCTATTTGAAAGTTTTATATTTGATCTAAGGTGAGATATATATTTAACTAAAGTAAATAACTGTTGAAAATTGTAAGTTAACATTGACAATATTTTCTTGAAGAACGCAATGTTTGGTGGCTATTTTCAAGCAAGCTGCTGATAACATATTATTACTGGGCCGCAAGGAAAACTGGCAGATCGAGTACTTGGACGACACCGGTGGCATCACTAAATTGGTAACCTTCATGCTTTTAATTTTCGCGTGATAGTGTACCAAACTACGCCATCAACCCTTGTCGTTTTCATTTTTAGCCATCCCTCTTTGAACAAATGACAATAGAAGCGTCAAAGCTAGCTCGGGAAACAGCAGTAGAGTGTGGACATCGAGAGGGCTCTTTACTCGTCGACCCTGGTCAGCAGTCGCTCTATTATGACGCGATAAAATCGCTGTTCTCGTCGTTTGCCCGTTGCTTGCAGCAACTAGCTTTTAGTGGTACCGACGACAATTTCGATGATGAGATGACCACTGAGTCGCATTTCGCTGGCACGCAAACTGCTTCTTACCGAATGAGGGACAGCAAGATGCATGGACCGGTCAGCCTTTACGATTGAACGTTTTTTTTTTTTTTTTTTTTTTTTGTTTTTTTACGCACATAAATTTTAATGTTTTTCTTGAATTTCAATCACGCGCAGACGTGGGAACAGTGCCTACTCATCTCTCTCAGCAACATAAGGTACACGCTGTCAGACGTCTTGCCGCGAGTCGAAGAGAGCTTGAAGAAGCAAGGCTACCCAGACCTGTCCTCTTCAATTGGCTATAATTCCGACTGGACGGAGTTGGAAACCTTGGACACCGCAGTGCTCGACGCCTACCTGGAACGCCGTTGCGATCCATTGATCGGCACTATCGAGCCAAACATGTACCTTGGCGATTTGGACTGGAGCTGGAATCTCCCACCCATGCACATGAAACCGTACGCCCAAGAAATCATCTCCAATGTGATAGGCGTGCACGCTGAGGTGAGATTTTTAAAGAGTGCACTGCGAAACTCAGGATTGATGTTTATCCTCAAATGCTCGAGTTAATTTAAATTACAGGTCCGTCGAGTTTCACCGTGTCTGTTGAGTCGCGTTCTATCACATATCGTTGAGAACATTGCTGAGGAACTGGCTCGTCTGATGACGTGCGTTAATTCAAAGTTCAGTCCAAGTGGCATTATACAAGCCAGACTTGATATTTTGATGCTGAGAAAAATCCTTGCCAGTTTTAGTACGCCAAAAGCCAAGTAAGTACATTTGGCTTCCAATTAATTTTAGCTGTGATTGAAATTTCCCATTTCCAATGTATTTTTGCAGAAATTTTTTTGATGAAGCTTTAAAAGCTGTACCGCCACCAGTTGCGAAAGAAGATGCAGAAAGGATTGACATTTTGATGACCAAAGTTACGTCGAGGATGAAACTGCAAATTATATCTTTGCAAGATGACTTTGAGGATGATACAACCTCGAGCAAAGTTGATTCAGATCACACAACTGTTGTGTAAACTGTTAATTTTGATTCAACTTTTTTTGTAGAAATCGGATTTTCGAAAGATCAGATGAAAATGTAAAGTGATTTATTTTTAACATATTTTATGATGTACTCGTATTTATACATAATATTAGATTGTATAGATATTAATAAAACTATTGAAACAAAGTATCTTAACAATAAAATGTACATAAAAATACCTTTTAATAAATGAAAAATACCCTGTGGTATACAATTTTTTTTATTTATTATTGCAAATATATTCAAAGTACTTAAATTCCTACCCTTAGCTCGTAAAACATTATTTAATTTTGATTTTGAAATAAAGAAAAAAAATAATAAAGTTCAAGACTACNTTATTTATTACAATTAAGTATTTTAATTTAATAATAATAATAATAATAATGGCTGAACAGAGACTATTTCAGTACAGATAAACAAAACAGTAATGTTACCTCAACCTTGAGTTTACAAGTCTCGTTTTTTTTACATATTTTCTTTTGTAAAAATATGGACAAAACATTTCTTATAAATACATCAACTGCAAGGTGTTTATTTTATAATGATGGTGATTAAAAAAAATTTTATTGTTTTGTTACATGCAACTTCAAATATTAATATAAAGCTGCTCTAGATGGCCCACATTAAATATTTCTTAAAAATAAAATTGTATATTTGGTTGTTACAGTTCAATATACAACATATTGTTATTTATCTGTTTAGTCTATTAAATACAATTGATCGAAATATTTCATTTGATGGAAATTCTATCGGGTTCTTAAAGTAACTACTTATAAATCGCACACGATAATAAGATATACAGTACATGGTATGAATGATAGTATTAAAATTTTAATGATTTATTTTCTTAAAAATAGTTTACGATTGATTATTATTCTTAATAATTTATGTAACTTTATACGTAAATATAAATAAATTTTTTTTCGATATATTATTATATGCTCTCTTATTTAGACTTTATTTACATGCAATACTTGCTTTTCACAACTCAATCTTCATCTATTAATTTTTACAACGGATAACAGTTGAGAATCTTTTTTTTTTTTTTTCATAATCATACCAAGTTATATTAAATTCATGAAAATAAGTATGTGTAATATTGATTCCATTTCAATTTTTTCGCTACACCAAATCAAAGTCGTCTCATTCTTGCGAGATAGCGTTCGCATAATTTATGTATATATTGGCATATTTATATATATTTATGTACATGCATTCATCCAAAAACATCTTTATCCAAAAGTAAGCTCAACTTACGCAAAAAAAAAAAGTTTTACCGAGAATCTGATATCAACTCTCAACATTGTTGGAAAAAAACAGCCTCTTTAGACGGTGTTGGCATTTTCCGTGCCGTTTTCGTTGGCTTCCTTCTTTGCCGCGATTAGACTCTCCCACTGCGCAATCAGATTGCTTCTTCGTCGCGGATGCGGCTGCAATTTCGATAAATATAGCTTTATCATCCATCGATTAATTAATCATAAATAATTTTATCCGCCAAGACCTCTGTTTGACTTGGAAGTGTCGCTCTCTTCTGTTGAAATAAATTTCGTTACACTCGTCGAAAGGCCATCGTACAATTCCTTTTCGTTCAGGAACTCATCTAACATTCTTCTTCGTACTTACTGCTTCTAGTACTGATACAATCATCCTCATTATTGTTTGGCAGATAAAAATCAGATACAGATGGTTTAGGATAAATAGATGCTTCCCAGAACCTGTTATAAAAGGAAATTGAGATCAAGGCTAAAATTCACTAATTTTTTTTTTGACACTGAAGATGGAAAAGAAAAACGATAATTAATAATAATGATATCCCATACCATAATCAACGATGCTTGAGGAGGATCCATCATTTAATTTTCTAAGCTGAAGCTTGTGTTTTTTCATTAACAATGTTGCATATTCATCATCTGCAATCAATTTAATTGTTAGCAGTAGCTTTAGGTACTTACTTGAAAGAAGCTACCAGTTTTCCCACGATTATAGTCCTCCTCTGAAGCGTGTAAGACTTGCATCTTGTTGTCTTCGGGATCGAAAAGACTCCAATCAACTACTTTTAAACGATTACTGTTATCATTCTGCTGAGTTGCAGCTGATTCTTCTGTGACTAAATTCTCTTGAACCTCATTTTTATCAAGAGAAGCTTTATGAGTATCCAAAAGCTGCATTGCAAACCTGGAATCCATCACAGGAACAAATATAAAAAAAATTTGTATAGTATCAGCTTCTTAATACAAAGTCATAGTTTAACTTGAATGATCGCGTTAACTTTTAGGACATCCCTTTTTTAGCTTTTGTGTAGTCTTTTTTTGATAAATGTAAGACAAAACGTTGACCTTGACGGTCTTTTGTTGAGAATGGTACGGTTATATCAGCTTTTGCCATCATCATTATCATTTCATCAGCATTAGCTTACTAACATTTTTCAACGTTTTGTTTTCAAAAAATAAGATAACAGTTAGTTTTTTTCGGAAAATTAGAGTAATAATAGAAAATTGAGGTTACATGGGTACACCGCATTAACATATAAAACCAGCTATGACGATTCTGTTCAGCTATAAGCCTGTTCCCGAGTCTGAAATACTTTGAGGAACGGAGCGATTGAGTGAACCAATCGATCGACCGACCGATCAATCGCTAAAAAAACGCACCTATTACACATGAGTGGACCATGCCGGTTCATGCGTGTCATTTTTGGCTACAGTCTATACGTTCGGGACTCGGTACACTATGGATATAGGCTGTAGATAACTGAGAACGTACTAACAGTTTCATGACCGTAATCCACGGTTACAGTTACAGTCCATGTAAACGGGACATCGATTGAATTGAGACGAAAGCATAGACTTGATGCCTGAAACGCCAGTGAACTCTTACTGTGGATTATTTGCACATGTGCCATGAGAAATATGCATGACGTTTACCACCGTGTAGGGGTAACAAAAAAGACTTCATAATAGTTTATTGATAGGTCAACTTCATACAGTGTTCACTAAGGACCTGGAGCGTTTTTTTTAAAACTAATTTTAAATCATATTAATAAAGCAGAATCTTTTAACATGTCAAGAACAGTTGACGAAATACTTTGCAGTACATTTAAAGTTACTTACATTTGGTGGAATCCGATTCCCAAATTCATAATATTTTCGAAAAGTCATGTCTCGTTATGCTGCCATGCCAATTGAAAACCATTTTTGTGTGATTTTTATGTCTGAAGCAATTGAGGCATAATATAATGAGAAAACTTCAAACAAGTTTTGCTGAAAGTTACAAAAGGAATTTTCAAAAATGTTTTTTTTTTACAGCTAAATTATACTTTTTTATTTGAAAAAGACTCGAAAATTATTTAAAAAATAGCCTTAGAAGAAGTTGAAAGAACTTTACGTTGCTTATGTTGTACAAATAATTATTTTGATGATAAAGAAATTGTTCTAGGAGGAGATTTTAGTCAGAAATTTTGAGTTTTGAAAAATAGTAATAGAAGCATAATTGTACAAAAAAGTATTAAAATACAATATCTTTGATTACTGCTGTCTATTCTATAACTAAATACCAATATTAGTTTGATTAACAAAATATTTTATAAATTATTATTAAATA